ACTCCTCCTGCTCTTGAGGCCGACTGGCTGGGTCCTGTCGGCGGAGCCAAAAGAGTCCCCCAGTGAGCATCACCGCAGAGGAGCCAATCAGCTGGCAGCTGGAAGTTTGCTGGGGCCGCTGTGAGCCAATCAGCTGGAAGTTTGCTGGGACTGCTGTGAGCCAATCAGCTGGAAGTTTGCTGGGGCCCCTTCGGCCGTGGCTCTCAATAGCTGACCTCTGTGGATTGCTCCAGCACTTCACCTTTGCACTATTTCCCTGAGTTAAATTCCTGCTCTTGAACTGCCTATCATAGGTTCCTGGCTTGATCCCGATGATGGAGATTTCTTCTTCTTCTTCCTCTTCTTTTTTCACAATGCTAGGGATCAAACCCAGGGTTTCATGCTAGGCAAGTGCTCTACCATGATAGAGATTTCTTAATGATTTCATCAGTTCATCTAAAAATACTTTTGAACAAGACACTGGACTGGATTCTTGAAGGAAAATAAATAAAGCATCAAGTTTCTTAGTATGTAGTTGGAAAAATAATTTATCCAGTGTGCTATTGTTTGAATTCCTGTGAAAATCTCATGTTGAAATTAGAAGGCTATCATGATGATATTGAAAAAGTGGGATCTTTGAGAGGTGACTAGGTCATGAGGGCTTTGCAATCATGAATAGATAAATGCTGCCATTCTCATGGGAATGGGTTAATAACTCTCTATCTCATGAGCTCACCTACCCTTCTGCCAGGTTATGACACAGCCAGAAGGTTCTCACCAGATGCAACCCCTCAATCTTGGACTTCCCAGCCTCCAGAACTATGAGCCAAGTAAATTTTTATTGGTTATAATTGACCCAGCCAGTGGTATTCTGTCATAGTGGCAGAAAATGGACTAAGACACAGTGTGAATGTTAAATAATATATATCAATGCCAAGTGACTCATGTAGTCAATTAATACTTTAAGATATAAAGAGGAGAGAGCCATCTCCATCTTCTTCTGTAGTCGGAGCATGCTTTAGAGGACCAGAGAATTGACATAAAGGGGTCATCTTCTAAAACTTCCAATTTTATAAGACAGGGTGAAAACTTACATGGAAAAGGACTTTGTGGGTATAATTAAAGTTAAGGACCATAGGGAGATAGGAGATAGGGAGATTATCATGGATTACCTGGGTAGACCCAGTCATCATGTGAGTTTTTTTAAAGTGTGATGAGGAAGTGAATTGGAGTGATGGCACATGAGAAGGACTCCCCAACCCTTTCCCATTGTCACTGGCTTTGAAGATGGAGGAATGAGGAAGAAACATGGGTTGCTTCTAAACTTAGCATGGCCCTCAATTTGTCACAGCAAGAAAATGAGAACCTCAGTCCTGTAACTTCAAGGAACTGAATTCTGCCAATAACCCTAATAAGCAGGAAATTTATTATTTCCTAAAGTCTCCAGAAAGGAATTTCACCTATCATCACCTTGACCTTGACTTCAAGCTGGAAAGATGTGTACTAGACTTATTACCTGTAGAACTCTGTGATAACAAATTTGTGTTTTAAGCTGCTAAATTTATGGCACTTCATTATAGCAGCAAGAAGAGTCTAATGCACTGAAGTTCTCAATTGGAATTATTTGGCTGGTGTTACCAGCAATGCTATTAAATTCAAGAATGGATCGAGTATGGCAATGATGTGGGGTAATGAGGGCTGAGTTCTTTGGTATATTGAGGCAACGACAGCGGGGATATTCACATGGCAGTGCTGGGACCACACTTGGCCATGTGAGAATGGAGTTCAGGAGGTGGTGGCAATAACTGAAAAAAAGTGCCAGGGAGGTGAGGTAGGGAAAAAGACGCCATGGAAGGAGGTCAGTTTCTTGAGTTTCCAGTTCCTCTGGCTCTGCTTGGCTTCCATTCTCCGCTTCTGCTCACCAAACTCCTGCTCATAATTGATGGGCTTTGTCTTAAAAAAAAATCACCAGGGAGTGACATTGAGTAAATTTTATAGATGGATTACAATAATTTTATTTATTGATTTAGACTGACTTCAGTAAAAGAATAATGCTTTAACTTTTGCTCTTTATAGGTTTGCAAAGGAAAATCTGAAATTTTTAAATGTTTTTCCTTCCTTTGTTTATGAATCTTTTTAACAGTGGAAATGTTTTGTCTCCTAAGAGTGGCATGGAGCTCAAATATATGACTCATTGGAAATGACGACCACCTCTTTATTGTTACAAATGGGAAGTGAATTGGAAGAGACACAAGAGAAACATAGGCTGATGTTCAGGAAAGTGTAAGACCTGTGAGGATGTCTTTATCTTGGACCAGGAGGACTGATACAGAACATCATAATGAGAGATAGAAAAAGTGAATAAATGTTAGTCACCAAGCAATTGGGTCCCCAAAAGCAAGCAAGAAACAAACAAAACCAAATGGAAAAACTGCCAAAAGAAAAAGTAGGCAGTAACAATTTAACCCATTTTTTCCTGTCATCCCAGATGTGGAACACATATAAGAACTTACCACTTATGGTAACTTTGAAATAATATTTGACTATTTATTATGCTTACAGAATTGAAAACTTGGGACATTTTTAAAAATATTTTTTTTAGCTGTTGCTGGATGTTTATTTTATTCATCTCTTTATATGTGGTGCTAAGAATAAACCCCAGTGCCTCACACACGCTAGGCAAGTGCTCTACCACTGAGCTACCACCCCAGCCCCCAAAACTTGGAACTTACCGGGTTAAAAAACTGAAGCTTTCGTTTACTAGATTCCCTCTCTTCATCAAAGCAGATTGTTGTCTATCCTTTTGGGAGCTGCCAGGAGCCCTGTAAGTTCCAGGCTACATGCCCAGCTCTGCCTGCAATCAAAACCTATGAAATTTACATGTTGATTAAGTTTAAGCTCTTACTTATGAGTCCATGCCTGTCAGACCTGTCTACCCAGGGATGGCCAATCAGTTTCATGGGTTTTCCTGGAAAATTGAGTCTCTGCTCTGGCTCTCTTCTTACCCTTGGGTTGCCCATTTCCTCTAATATCTAAGAAAGAGGTGAAACTGAACCCCTTTCCCTGTGAGTATACAGCTTTGGGTCAAAAGATTTGGCAGTAAAGATTGGAATTGTTAGTGCCTATGGTGAGTCATGGGGTGAAATTGTTAAGGAAGCTGTGTTAGGTTCTGTTGCTCTTCAGCATCACTCTCCATCCCTATTCTCTGGTACTCCACTATCCCCAAGTACCTTCATCCTGTTCCCTGCCTTTGCCACACCCCTGCCCCACTCGGCTTCACCTACCCAAACTAATAAGTGTCATTCTCAGAGAAGCTCATGATGGTTTTCCCCAGTGCTTTTCCACATTACCCAGTATGGTAGGTGTTTTCTAGATGATCAAAAGAATTCAACCAGTTCAGATTAACTTATACTAACATGTGAATGACTGATTGCCCCCTAGTGCTCCCAAGAATATTTTAAAAATTAACCCTTTAAAGGTTAACTCAATAGACTCTGATCAATAGAATATAGAAGTAGCATGAGGGATAGGAAAGGCAGCAGAATACAACAGACACTAGTATGGCAGTATGTATAANTGTATAACCAATGTGATCCTGCAATCTGTACACGTGGTAAAAATAAGAATTCATACCCCATTTGAATCAAATGTATGATATATGATATGTCAAGATCATTGTAATGTTTTGAGAACCAATAAAAAAAATCAATTGAAAAAAAAAAGAACAGAGATTAAGGAAGAGGTCATTCTAATTACATTAGGGTACTAAGACAACTAACCACTCTGCCCATATTTGCCTTATTGGCTGCAGGGGAAGTGGGGAATTAAGCATCATTCAATCCTGTTTGAAAGCACAATTATGATTTTAATTATCCCTGAAAATAATAAGTACCCTGCCATCATTTCAGGAAAATAGGCTCCCATATGATAGTAGGTATATTTCATTATGCAACTTTAGTTTCCAAACATACTTAGTCTTTCCTATTAATTGTATGTCAGAATACCACAAAGAAAATAACAATTCTTTTATAATTAATTTTTTTAACAACTTATAGCACCTCACGTGAGGGAAGGTTTGGGGAAATAACACTGTTGTGTATAGCAAAGGGTACTGTAAACTAATTTAAGTTTTCTATAGGGCATTTTGACAACCAAAATTCATGAATTTCTGAAAGAATGAGCCATGTGTGTATCCAAAAATCCAGCATTATTTGTAATGAAAAATCGTCCACATTAAAATGCTCATTAAAAAGGAAATTTGTCATAGATAAATGGTACATCCAATCATTGAAATGCTATGCATTTATCACAAATTTGGAAATTTGTTTAATGATATAAAACAATAAATAGTTTTGTGTAACATGATCCTTCTTATTATACAAATAAATATATACATATGTATGTGAATATACATTAATATACATATGTAGATATACACATGGAAAATAATATATACTAAAATATTAATGTCACTTATTTCTGGTGGCAAAATTATAGATGGCTTTTCTTTTCTTTTCTTTTCTTTTTTGTTTTTTGTTTTTCTGTCATTTCTGAAGTTTCTCCAGTAAGATTGTATTATTTTACATAGAGAAAAAAAGAGAATTACTTTTAAGGGACATGAGCATTTTATCCAAATTAATAACTCAATAGCTCTTGTAGTTTGTACACTGAGAGGTGTCTGATCAGATTGAAATTATATACAAGAGGTGGCAGAATAAGCATAGCTAACATCTGTGCTAAAAAGAAACACAGTTCATGGAAGTTTAATTTATGCAGATGTACACATTTACTTCTACACATTTTAATGAATATTAGGCAGTAGCTGAAGTTTTTAGTCCTCTAAGAGATGTCTTTGGAGAGAATTCAAAAGGACTGATCAATGTCAAGAATAATAGTAAGTTAACATACTGCCCTCTTTTGGTAGCTATTTACAACTCAGATTCATTGCCACTAAAGATGTTCATCTCCTACAAATTTGTGCATAAAGTAAACTAATTTTAAATCACCTTTTTCCTTGACAGAAAATGCTGATAATTCCAGTTTGTTATCACCATCTGGTAAGACTGTTATTTTATGACTTTGGGGAATTTCAGGAAAATATTATCCCAAAAGTTCTCCACACAGTATGGCATGCAGTCAGTTATAGCAAAATTGTTTTTCTGCAAGTAGCTTAATTAAGTTATGTCATTAAACCTACACCTGGAAAATCAATAGCAAACATAGACAAGAAGACAGCCATATTGATTCTTCTGTATTGCCAAACAAAGCTGGGAAGTACAACACTGGCAAATAAATTGTGGGTTTACATCATGGTAGCTGCTTAAGTTCTTCAGTTCTTTTTGGTATTCTAGTTCACGAATTTTCTGAAGAGTATCAAGAACTTAAACATGCCAAATGTTTTTATATTTGCATGATGAGATATTCTCTTAAACATGCTTCCTCAGTACCCTCATTGAGTATTTCTCAAAAGGCTTCCGAAAGCTTAGCACTTGCTAGAATAGGGAGGCAAATAAATTATAGATAAATTAATAACTAGAACCCATATTGGCAGGAACTAGGAACAGGATCCTATTTCCAGATTGATAGCTGCAATGGAACCTTAGGGATACAGTAGCCCAGCTCTAGTCCTTAGCTGATGAGAGAATGAAGCCCATAGCACCTCAGTAACTTGTCGAAGACCTCACAGCTTCTTGCTCCACATCATACAGAGGCAGCACATGGCTTCTCTGATTTCTTCCTGCTGTACCATATAGACTAGAATGATCTCTCATGATAAGAGATGAGCCAACTCACATTTTATCATTAGTTGTGTGAAAATGAGCTTCTACTGTTATTCATTTAAATGGAATTAATAAAAATGACAATTGTTTCTTGTGCATATATTACGTGCCTAGAAGTCTTCAAACATCTTCCCATTCCTCTCAGTGTTGCAGGATAGGAATCATTATATGCATGTTACAGATGAGGCTCAGCAGGGAAAACTTGCTCATGTTCATACATTCTCTGGAACCAGACTATTAGAGTTTGAATTTGGCTACCACCCTCCCACCCCCATTGCCAGCTCTGATTTGGGGCAAGTTCCTTCACCCTTCTATGCCTCAGTTTCCTCCTCTATTAATTAGAAGAACAGTACCTGCTTCATAGGGTATTTGTGAAAATGAAAGGATACATGTGCCTGGCACAGAGTAAGCCCTTACTAAATTAACTATCATTAGTATGAGTTACTAAGTTATGGGGCAAAGATCTGTACCTGGACTGCATGCCACCAAAGCCCAAACCCTTTTTACCATGCCAATTTGTCTCCTGGTTATTAAGATTCCAGGGTAGAGTGTATTTTTCTTTTAGTAGAATAACTTTCAGCGAACTTGATTATGATGATATCTGCAAAATCTTGTTTGCAGAGAAGAGGAACAGGGCTTTGAGGGTACACACTGGCACTAGTCACAGCCTAGGTTCTGAGTGCCCTGGGGAAGAGCCAGTGTAGCATTGAAGGGCAAAGACAGCTGTGCCCATAAGTCTCTTCTTTGTGTGATATCATCATTCATTAACATTTGGAAGAATGAATAGTCATTAATTAAAAACCAGCTCTGACCAATTATTTTGTTCTGCTCCAATAGCAAAGGAGTCCATACCTGCACTTTGATTTTATCCCTCATGAACTGTCTTACTCCTCATGAAATATCCTTGCCAACTTAAAAAAAAATAAATGTAGCAAATGACAAAATATGGAAGCAATAATGTGGGACAGACAGGGTGTGTGTGTGTTTCAGCCAACGCATGAGCAGTCTAAAACAGACAGGCCAGCCAACCATCTTGACACACCCAAAGTTTGTCCATACCAGCTGAAAAATTAGGCTTCAAAAGGCTTCCAAAAGCTTAGCACTTGCTAGAATAGGGAGGCAAATAAATTACAGATAAATTAAAAACTTGATTTAGTTGCAAAATGTTTGTGTTTGTTTTTCCCATGTTTAGGTAGAGGTCAAGCCACTAGATCTTTTTAATATTTAAACATGTAAGATGAGTGTAGTAGATTGACCTCTTGACCTAAATAGAGTCACTCCACAGGAAATTTATTACTCAATTGATTGTCTTAATAGCAGCCATATTTTAAAATAGCTTACTGGGAAATTGTGTTAGGTAGTACAATATTGAGTGGTATCAATTTGTCTTTATAATCCTAAATTCACTGTGGGATGAGTTGCCAAGCACCGTTGTAAGCCAATATGTGAATATATTTCATGATTGTAGTTCAATACATTATTTTAAATGTTTTCTAGAATTCTCTTGGTTGAAAATTTTGAATGTAATATTTCCTTTATTTTGGTGTGTTTCCTAAGATTATTTCCATGATATTCCATAGGTAGTAGCAGGCTTTGTGATCATGGGTCTCAGAGCATGTTTTCTTTTTATAGTTATACCTCAGAAGTTCTAATACATAACTGTTTCAAAGTATTTATTTTAAAATGTTCTTTTTCTCTCCTGCAGTTGAATCATCTCTTGTCAGTTTTGTCCCCTACTCCAATGGTACTCCAGGCAAGACTTTGAAAAAATTCAAACATACATTTAGCCCAATTCGTTAAATTTTTGTTTTAATGATACCTTGTATTGTTTTTCTCCTTGTAACAAAAAGTGGCTGAAACTACAAGCCTCAATGGTAAGAATTTTTCTGGAGCAAGTGAAAACTGATAACTGTTAATATGTATATAAGTATAATGAACAGTGTGGCAGATTTCCATCTCTAAATTATTTCTGAATACATTAAATAATTTCAAAAACCCCCAAACCTGTCAACCCTTAAGAGTGACCTAAACTTTCTGGTTAAATGATAAAATTATTATGATCACAGAGGGAGCCCTCCACCACTCTTAATTGCTCTAGAAAAGAAATTTTGAGTACTCCATTTCACTTGCTCTACAACACAATGCCATAAGGTTTTGCATGACAGATGTTTAAATGTGAAAAGCACATCTAGCAGAATACAACAGTTACTAATATGGCATTATGTAAAAATGTGGATGTGTAGCCGATGTGATTCTGCAATCTGTATTTGGGGTAAAAATGGGAGTTCATAACCCACTTGAATCTAATGTTTGAAATATGGTATGTCAAGAGCTTTGTAATGTTTTGAACAACCAATAAAAAAAAAAAAGAAAGAAAAGCACATCTAGTGACTTCAATATGATTCAGCATGGATTTGAAGGCACAGAGTGTTCAAAGACAGCCTTTTTACAGATGATTTGACCGATTTTTAAAGAGTATGAAATGGGGGAAAAACTGGCTTCCTCACTGTGCTAGAGAAAAGGACAGAGCTTTGTGCTGTATTCAAGGGAGGCAGGCCGGGCGGCACATTCTGTTCCATCCTCTTTGTGGGTAGATAGCCTTCCATCTTACTGCGGTCAAACCCCAACACTTTTCAGAATCGCTTAGTTAAAATCTCACCATGTGGTTGGTGGTTAAGGAGCTAATCATAGTTGCAGCTTATACTGATCAAAAACTGGTTTAAATTCATATTTGGCCCAATGGGAAGAGCCAAAGGTTATAATTTTTATGTGTAATTACTTTTTACAGTGAAAAGAATATCTTCAATTTAGCTTTGTAGCAGTGTTTGGATCCGTGTGTGTGTGTGTGTGTGTGTTAAGTGTGATAATGTAATACCTTTTTTTTCCTTAAAAAATTCATCCAGAATAATAAATTCTTGAATGCTTTTCATTTAAAGAAATAACAATAGAATAGATTCAAAGTTGGATTTTAGATCAAACACTATCAAAAGAGGTTTTTCCTAAAAGTTAGTTGAATACACTCTTTAAGAACTCCAAATTTAGGGGCTGGCATTGTGGCTTAGCGGTAGAGTGCTTGCCTAGCATGTGCAAGACACTGGGTTCCATCCTCAGCACCACATTAAAAATAAATAAGTGAAATAAAGGTATATATAAAAAAGAACTTCAAATTTAAATTAGACTTAGTTAAAATTACTTTAAAAGACTATACCACCGGAAGAAACATTCAGCCTCCCCACCACTATCTACTAAAGTTGGTATCAACATTAGAAATTTCAGATCCCTTAGGGAATTTCATTATTGTAAAGGACAAAAACTAAACAACGTAAATGAGTTTATTTAAATCTAATAATTATGGGAGTGTTGTTATGTGTTAGATATGTAACTGGCATTCAGGAAACGCATTTTGAAAGAACAAACATTTGTTCAATTAATCTTCAGGAGTGGGAGAATGGATAGTAGTAAGGGGATGGGCAGCAAATGCATACTTTTGCAAAACTAACTTCTGGATTTTAGGAAAAGTAAAATATTTAAGGAATGTTACAAGAGTCATGTTTGTTAACCATGCCAGTAGTTACACTAATTTTTATTATTTTGTTTCAGATGCTACTTCCAGTGTATTGTCTACATTAAACAAGACAGGTAATATCAAGTTATTTCTAAATGTCATAGCTTTTCTTCTATGACTTCTTAAGTTTTTCACTTGTGTGGTCTACGGGGTTAGTAAAGAGTAGTTTTCCTTTGCTAACTTTCTTGAACTTTCAACTGTTATTATTCCTTTGACTTTGACATTGAACTATAATTCTGTTGTCACCATTCTCAAACTTATGAACTATTATGGCAGTAGCACTTCATTTAAATAACATTTATTATCATAGTGATACATGGTAGCTCATAAAAATGGAAAATATAGAGAAATACAAAGAAGGAGGATAGAAATCATCTTTAATGTTACTTTTCTAAGACTGTTAAAATTTGGTATATTTTCATTTAGTATAATATATGCATGTATTTATATGCATATATCTTATGTATATGTCCCTTGCAAAGTAGTCATAGTTTATGTAGATTTTTATATCTTGCTCTTCTGACCTAATATTAAATTATAAGTATTTGCCAATATCTCTTGCTTTTAATGACTTGATAACATTCCATTGTATACCATATGTTGAACACTAAAGTTGTTTCTATTTTTTTAATAGAGGTTATTCCAGTGAACATCCTGGTGCCAATACTTTTCATTCATCCTTGATTTCTGTAGGATACATTCCAAGGATTGGACATAACGTATGAATATTTTAAGGCCCTTGACACCCACTGTCCAATTACCTTCCAGAAGGGTTGTGCCTAGCCACATTCCTTGCAGCAGTGGATGAGGTTATCTATGTCACTGTACCTTTGTTAGGATTATAGTATATTATTAATTTTTCTCTCAATTACTTAGGTTTTCTTTTCTTTTCTTTCTTTCTTTTTTGGTAGCAGGGGATTGAACCTAGAGCGCACTTACTCACTGAACCATATCCCCAGCCCTATTTTGTATTTTGTCTAGACACAGGGTCTCACTGGGTTGCTCAGGGCCTCCCTAAATTTCAGAGGTTGGCTTTGATCTCGTCATCCTCCTGCCTCAGCCTCCCAAGCTGCTGGGATTACAGTACACCATTGCACCCAGATTATTTTTCATTCTTGATTATTAGTGAGGTTGAATATCAGGGCAAACAAAACAATATATTTAAAGGATTATTAATGATAATGCAGTCTCTGTAATTACTACCAACCATTGCCCATGAGTCACACAGTGAAATGAACTCATCAATATCACACACACACACACACACACACACACACACAAATGAGGTTTTTGAAGTTGTCAATATAACATCATCATTCATAAGTGTTATCTCCAAGCTTCAAGCTTATTCTTTTATTCAGAATTTCCCCATCTGCACTAGGAGACAGAACTTTGCAAATCTGTGCCCTGAACACAGCCTCTTATAGTTGGCCATCCTGATGGCATGGATTGCTGAACCTGGTTCTCCATTATCTGGCAAATGAACCATGTGCTTTGTCTCCCAACTGTAATGTAATGATATTTTTAAGGTTTGCTTCTTTAGAACATGTTAATATTTGCCTGTAAGTTCCTAACTTTAAACAGTTCTGGTTCTGCTGTGGGCTTGTTGTGTGACTATAGTTGGATGGTTTTGACCTCTCTCAAAATAGTTTTATCTATCAGTACAACAGGGATAACTGTTAAAGCAAACAGCAGGATGCTAGACTGTAGACTGCAGTAGCAGTATTTTAGATCCTATGTGTATTGAGTCACATTAATTTTGACTCTGAATCACCTACCCTTTACAACCTATCACCCAGAGGTCCTGAGAGTGACTTAATTCCATGTATCTGAAATTCACATTTGTTGGTCTAGCAGCAGTGCCTGGAAACTGGAGTAGAATTACACAAGCAGTGGGGTGTGTAATGGGTGTGATCTAACTGGGTAAACATGGGAATCCAACTCCCAGGCCCACCCCATGCCAATGCTACAATTTCTGTGCAGGTCCCATCCATTCCACTGCTGAGATGACCAATCATGTCTTAAAAAGATGTCAACGGTGTGATTTTTATTTGCACTTCACTAAAAAATGATATTCATGGCAAAGTGTTTTTTAAAAACAAGCAACAATTGTGCTCTAATATTTAAATTGCTTCTTTGCAGAAAAAACTAAAATCACTATAGTAAAAACCTTCAATGCATCAGGTATGACTTATTATAAATATCAAGACTTTCTTCTTTATAACTAAGGTAAAATTAAACAAATGGCTGGTGTTTATGATCTCTTTCTCTTTTTTTAAAAAAGTAAAATCTGTTCTTAATGAATAGATGTGTATGTACTGAGTATCTGAAGTTGTACTAGACATTAAGGGCTGTATAATAATGATCAGGCACAGTGCCCTCTCTCAAGAATCTTCTAGTCAAGAGGGAGACAGGTCAAAGAAGCAGGTCACAAATGTGAACATGCATGCAGATAAAGGCAATGATTCCACCAGGATTTCTCTTTCTCACTCTCTTTTTTTCCCCTTGGTGTTGGAGATCAAACCCAGGGCTTCTTGCATGCTAAGCATGTACTCTACCACTGAACTACACCCACAACCCCACAAGCATTTCTCATGGTTAAGAGACATAGGCGGTAGGACTAGTGGTAATGAGTTTATGAACAGGATGCAATTAATGAAAGAGAGGAGTGAACCTCAAATTCTTTCTAAAGCAAAGCAAGATTATACTTTTAAGTACCTAATACAAGACTAGGCATACAAGATATACTTAACAAAGACTTTTCTTTTCTCTTTCTTTTTTCTTTTCTTTTCTTTTCTTTCTTTTTTTTTTTTTTTTTAATACAGGGACTTGCTAAGTTCTCTAGGCTAAAAAGGCCTCAAACTCGCCTTCCTCCTGATTCCAGCCATCAGAGTAGCTGGGATTACAGGCATGCACCACTGTGCTCAGTTTAACAAAGCCCTCTGATTGACTTCAGACAGGGGTTGGCAAACTATTGCCAATGGGCCAAATCTGGTTCATTGCCTGTTTTTGTAAAATATGTTATTGGAACACTGCCATGTCCATTCGTTTACATATTTTCTATGGCTACTTTTCTGCTATATAGAATGGTAGAGTTGAGTAGTTGCAACAGAAAACATATAACCCACAAAGCCTAAAATATTTAGTATCTGACCCTTTTCAGACAGTTTTCTCATTCAGGATTTAAGGAGTGACCAGTAAGTAGCTGTAGTGCAGATAATGGGCCTAGAAACAGGAAAGAAAATTCTCCGTATGAAAGAGCAACAAAAAGACCCACATCACTAGAAATGGAGATGCAGGTAGAGATGGCAGAATGAAAAGCATAGCAAGAATGGATCAATGCTTTAAAGAAAGCATTACTACCCACCATCTATATATTCTATAACATTTGCATTGTATGTATGTTATAGTGAGCTATAAGTAACTACATTTAAAGTGAAATCTTCCTCTTCTGGTGTGGGTAACATTGCTATGGAAGAATATAGAAATCTTTATCTAACTTTGGGCACCTAAATTCAGTTTGTTCACAGAATCAAAACTCTTAGCTGAAGCATGATGCCCGTACACCAATAAATCATTCTGACCGAAACCATATCACTTGCACTAAGTCAAATTATAGTTTTAATAGTTTTCTATTTCTATTTCAAATAATAAGTTTCATAGTTTTTTCATAGGACAAACATGTAATAAAAATTAACTAGCAATTGGCATTGCATACATAATTCTGACCATACAGAACCTAACAAAGAGACTGAAAGATTCCTTAATATAACCCTCTTTTCCCCTTGGCAATTTGCTTAGTACATTGTCAGCATTTGCCCCTCCCATTTACTATGGATTTCTTATGCTTCACCAAAAGGATGCAATTAGTGAAGGAAAGACTCTTAGAGAAGTAAATCTTGAGCTCTTTTCAAACAAAGAGATGTACTTCTCCTTTCACTAAAGGAGAAAGTGTTTCTCAGATACATCTGTTTGGAGTTTTTGTTCTAACATGGTTCATTTCTTCTCCCATTCTTCTCCCATTCTGCCTCCTTGGTATGCTCATGTGATCTGAAGTCCTGATTAGCACTAAAACTTTTTATATACTGGCCAGTATCGACCTCTAGATTGTAAGCTCCTTGAGGGCAGGGTCTATATCTGAACCTCCCAAAACCTGTAGAATATGGTAGGTGCACAGCAAATACATTTTGAATTTTGTAGTTTTTGCTCATGAAACAATATCATGACATTAATGTTATTTCATACATACATTTGCAAAGAGAGCTAGGACTAACATTAGAGTATTTGGGGACTCTCCAATCCAGGAAGGGAAAGACGATCTTTGAGGCCTATTCCATTTAAGGTCTCTATATTTGATTTGTTACCTGGTGCTCTGTTTTATATTGGACAGGCAAAAGGTTAATTGTGAGTGAAACAAAGAAATTTTAGGAAGGAGTTGAAGGTCAGACACTGACATACTATAGAATAGTAAAGAGTCAAGTTCCATAGCTGACCAACTAAATGAAGACTCTCATTCCTTTAGTCTCTGTGAAATTCATCCAGCCAGTTTTATCCAGTTTCTTAATATTTTTGGTCCACATTTGCCTACGTTTGTGAATATTCTTGACAATGTAGTATATAATTGCAGGTGTTGATGTGCTTAACCAGCTAGGTTGTTGTTGTTTTTTTGCAGGAGTCAAATCCCAGAGAAATATCTGCAATTTGTCATCTATTTGCAATGATTCAGGTTAGTTCTTGTGTACATTATACATTACCAGATAAATTTGTTTCATAGAGAAAAATTATTTGATTTGTTTTTTCCTGTTGTGTATGTGTGTGCCTCTCTGACCTGTCTGTTTTTATACCACCTGGCTACCAAAAGTCCCTAATAAAACAAAAGTGAATTTTAGATCTGGTTGAAATTATCTTCCCATTGTTTAGTGAAAGGATGAATTAACTTCCTTAATATGAGACATAAAGTGCAAATATTTTTCACTGTAGCTTTAAATTCATAACTAATACTCTTAGTGTTAATTCATGAATAATAATGAGGTTATTACTAATTATTGAAAGTCACTTTTTGTATATAAATCCCTCAAGCTTTCCTGTAGGACCTTAAATAATATAGCTTAGAAACAGGATGTAGTCCTTTGCTAAGAATAAAACAAACCCGACTGCTAGAATGTTGAAACCTCATGTACAACTAATTCAACTAAATGCTAATTCCAGTTGTGTCCATATTGTGTTTTGCCATCTCTAACCAAGGCTGTCCACTATTTTTTAAAGTTAAGGTAGAAATCTCTTGAGAACAAGCTATTTTTAAAATAGGAATATTTTTCTTTCTGCCATGGGCCAGAGGAAGGAAATAACCACTTTTCTCACATTGATTTGGCTCTTTGGGTTCCCCACCTTATGAAAACCAATGAAAGCAAATGTGAAAAACAGAAAAATATGATGTGGCATGTCAGAAAGGGTTAGGAGATCATGGGAAGAGAGAAGAAAATGGTAGCAAGGTATTTTATGATATTAAAATCTTGGTATGTCTCCAGTAATAAACAATCATAGGTTTTTCCCCTTTTATTTTGTTCCTTTTAATAGTTTTAGAATTTATTTGAAAAACATAGGTAACAATTTCAAGTAAAATAACTTAAGGTTGGATAAATTAGAGAACGTGAAAAAGTAGAAACACTTTCTATCGTGTGAATATGAGATTTGCTCATCTGAGCTATCTGCTGATATTATGCTCTGGGTGGAATATAAAAAGGAAATATTAGGTGATTTTGATGAAAGGAATGAATTATAGGATACATTATATAATAAATACTTATATGTATGTACACACACACATATTGCTTCTCTTTTCTTCCTCCTTTTCTCCCTCCTTTTTTACTCTTCTCTTTACTGAATTCCCCATAAAGTCATTATTTTTGTGCCTCATCCATGTTTTAGGCTGGTGACTAATGTCTAGTTCCGTGTTGTGTCTACATATTTGATAACTGTTTGAAAATTGAACTTGTAGTCAAAAAAGAAAAATCTGGTCATCTTGAATTAACAGATGCCAGAAAGCTGGTTGGTGTAATGTTTTCCCCAATTAAGTGACTGAATTGACCATTTGTTTTAGTGTCTGGTGAAAACAACCTCATCAGAGAACCAACTCTTCTGGCACCAGAAATACCATGATATCCTGCCAGAAACTAGAAACCTTTGCTTTTTGCAGGTTTCCAATGTAGGTCCATTAAAGGAAGTGGAGGCTGGTGAAGAAGCTGAGAGATGACCAGGAAGAGTCAGACTAAGGGTCAAAGGTGATGGCTTCTTGGTTGCCCTGTGCAAACCAGAACTACTGTGCTCCCAGCACATTTATGAAATTCACCATGCACTCAAGAATGTGAGGGAGAGAAATTGTGGATTTCAGTGTTCACAGACATACAGAATCTAAATATGCTTTTAAAAGCTAAAGGTTTTTAATTTTTTTTAAATGGATAAGTAATTCTATGCAGATATCAAATATATTTACTTTTAATAATTATATACTGCATTAATTGAAATTTCAGTATCAATATTCAAAAATTGAAGTTCTCAGTAGAAATAGGTCACATTAATCACTGCTTATGTGGCTTTGTCAGCCATTTTTAAGTGGAAGTAGACCATAGGATACATGGCCATGGGAATCAGTTGTAGTACCTTGGGTGCAATAAAAGAGGATGAGTTAAGGAGGCGTTCAACTCTGACTCAGGGGTTGGCAAACTACTGCCTAGAGTCCAAATATGGCCAGCCACCTGTTTTTGTAGATCAAGTTTTATTGGCCTACATCCATGCCCATCTATTTACATATTTTTTGTGGTTGCTTTCATGCTCAGTGGCAGAATTACAACAGAGAACATAAAACCTCAAGTATTTACTAAGATCGGTCCCCAAAAACATTGGCCAAACTCTATTTTGGTGTATATGACATCCTTGCCCCATTGCTCAAATGGCCAGGTTTGGGTTCCTGTGATGAAGTGCATACTTTTCTGTTTAAGAGTCTCCATTTTATTTATTTCCAGATAGAGCCCCCTAGGTGTACCCTACAGGAAATAGGTTGACTGAAATTGAATTTAATATATCCCAAAGTCAGCATTTTAAGAACAAGGTTTTCTGGCAAATCTGAAGAGAAAGCAAAAATGAGTTGTTCAACTGAAGGAAGAATTTTCCTGCACACTATTCAGGTTTCAAAGCAAAATCTCAGTTGTGTTTCTGGGAAAGATATTGCATTTGGTAGTTGTATTTTAAAAACAAAAACTAAATTGAAAAACTGATGAACAATAAGTAGATTTCCATAAGGCTGCTTAGCTGCTCCTTTCTCCCTCCCTCCTTTATCTATGTAACTGTAACTATAACTTTAAAAGACATTTTTGTTTTAAGTTAACATCAAAGTCACAGTTCCCCTAGATTTTGTGGGGGTTTTTTTTCCTTTTTGTTTTTTATTTATTTTTTTTCAGTATTAGGGATTAAACTCAGGGCCTCACACGTGCTAGGCAAGTGCTATACTACTGACGTATACCCCTTTTTATTGTATTTTGGGACATAGTCTCACTAGGTTGTCTAGGGTGGCCTCAAATTTGTGACCCTCCTGCCTCTGTCTCCAGAGTCGCTGGGATTTTAGCCACCACACCTTGTTCTCCCACTTACCTTTAAAGGAAACAAAGTTAAAAAAAAAAAAAAAAAGCAGATTGGGATATAAATTTCTTCATAAGGAGACAAGTTCCTCTCTTTCTGAATTCTCACATAGAATTTATAGTTCATATTTTCTAAAAATTATGTTGACTATCATTGAGTAGCTTACTGATAGGCAAGAGAGTAAATGGGAGTAAAAACAAAATTGTTTATAAAGTAATTTGCTAATCTTTTCATGTGTTGTATTAATCCTCAAATTGTAAGGATACAAGTCTCAAATTTCTTTTTGAAAATTTATTTTTAGTGTTTTTTAGAGGTGAGATAATGTTTCAATATGATGAAGAACACAACATTACCCAGGTAGGTTTTAAATTTTTTTTCTTATTGTACTCTTAAAATGTGAATTTGCATGTATTTAAAGATTTGTTGAAGGTTCAGATTATTTATCCTATTTGCATATTTACTTTCATGCCAAGTTTAAGTAAAATATGTATGATTGAATCCCTAGCTTTATGGTAAGGACTTGAATCAATAATCATAATATCTTTTTAATAATTATAGTCTAGTTTTCACTAGGTTTGTGGCTAAATAAGAATGTTAATATGATGCAATTTCATTACCAGTTTAAAATTTAAAATTATCTTAAAACCTCCTAGCAACAAGAAATATCTATATTGAGTCTAGGAATAATCTTCCATATCTAATTGTGTTCCCCATATGGAGAATTCAGTTTCAATGGTATCGACCTTCCCATAACCTACATTGGTTCAGAGAATCCCAGACAAACATGTTATTCATTTGGTGAATATTCCCTGGGCACCAACTATGTGCTAGGCCATGAACTAGGTGCTAAAAATGCAGTAGTGGCTGCTATCGAGTTTCCCTTTATACATTGGGGTCTTGTTACTTAAATCTGGGGCTGTCATGAAGAGAGCTTTACTAGTGTTCTTTTGAGGGAACCCTTGAATTGAAAAAAGACAGAAAATAGCACATAAGAGCTGCTGACTCAGGATTTCCTTTAAGAAAACATAAACCAAAAACTGGCTTAGCCAATTAATATTGATTAACTTTTGAGTACCACTCCCTCCACCCTTTCTATGTAACAACAATTTGGGAGCTAGGGATATAGCTCATTGGTAGAGTTCTTGCCTTGCATGCACAAGGCCCTGCATTCTAATCCCCACCAACACACACACACACACACACACACACACACACACACACAAATTAGTTGAATCTATGTAACAGCAATTTGATCATCTGATGGACAATATTCCATGGATTAGGATTCAGTCTTTGGGGTGTAATTCTTTGAGTGTCTAACAAAAGTGCAAAACAACTTCTTGTTAGAGTATATAACAAACAAAAACAAAATAAATGATATTCATTTTATTCTTAATTTTTTGCTTCCAACAGAATCAAGATATAACTAATGGCACCTACTCTGGAGTGCTGTCTCTAAGTGAATTGAAGTGAGTACTCTACTGTTTGATTGAAAATTTCAAACATCAACTGTGGAAAGATACTTGATGAGCTGTTTTTGCTTTGGAAACCAAGAATGGGAAGAGACAGATCCAAAGGATATAGAGCTAATTTGTTCTTGCTTACTAACCAAACTAACCAAAGTCAGCTATCATCAACTATAATCCCCATGAGGTTGTTCTCTCTGATGCTGTGAAATTACACAACAATTTCATTTGAGTTGTTATTTGCATTTTAATGTGATTTGGTATCCAGCATGATTCAAAGGGTTCCAGATAGGACTCCATGTATACCGTTTGTTTGTTTTTCATGAAGCCTCAGTGATTCAAAAGTCAGAGATTTTTGTTAAGTAGACCTCGGCTTACAAGGACAAGAACAATGAGAAATGCATTATAAATAGCTTCCCCCAGTTAGAGCAGAGTTTGAAAATGTCAGCCAACAAGATGGCCTAGGACATAAATAGTCTTCCTCTGTCACGGAGAGACACAACTTCATGAAAGGGGGCATATACAGAGTACCAAAAGACATCCCAAGGATCAGACAGTAGAGCAGGAGGAGCAGTTAGGTGTGTGCTGGAGGGCGCATGGAAACTCCCAGGAAGGAGGTGATCTCTGAGCACAATCAGAGGAGTGGCTCCTGCCGGCTTGAGGAGCTAGCTGACTATTTCATCCGTCCTTCTCTTCTTCCTTTCAGACCTTGCCTGGAGCTATCTAGAACTATTGTCCATTCCTCCGAGCAGGTTTCTCCCCCTCAGCAGTATTGGCATTGGCACCTGCAGTGTTAAGCTTGAGGATTCTTTGTTTTGGGGGCCTGTCTTATGCATTGTAGGACATTTAACAGTATCCATGGAGTAGCACCCTCCCAGCGCAACAACCCAAAATGTCTCCAGACATTGCCAAATGTCCTCCCATCCCCATTGAAAATCCTTGCCTTAGGGCGAATTCTTTAATTAGATTTCTTTCATCCTAACTTCAGTGAAACTCTGCCATGTTGAAGAAAAGAAAATATTGTTGGAATGGGAATGGTAGAGAGGATTGAGAGAAATTCCTGAAGGGGAGTTGTGAGGAGGGGAAGGCAGGGCTGGAGAGTGCTAGAGAGGGCAGGCTGTTTGAGTTGGAGAGGAATGAGGAATTAATCAGAGGTTCAGGGTAAGTGGCTTGCCCCTCTCAGAAATGCTTGCCTGGGGCCAGCTCTTCCTCTGGCCCTCTGCAAGAAGAAGTTGGGGGGGGGGCGCAGTTGCACTAGCTTAATGAATAACAAGATTGTTCCACCATAATTTATATCTTGCTCTTAGCTAGAACCAGTACAGCTCCTGTCTGGTTAGTTTCCCCTGACATATAAATAATTTATTTTTCCCACATAGCAATCTCTCATTATGCCCCGTGTTTCTTCAAAGTGAACACTGTGAGCAATAAATACCACATGCTTGATTTAAATGCTACAAATCTAACTTGTTTTGCATTTCACATCACTAATGGTCGCCTTAATGTCAACTTCTCTGATTTTATTAACAGACGATCAGAGCTCAACAAAACCCTACAAACCTTAAGTGAGGTAATCACAGTATACCCTGTACCTTGTTGGTAATCATTGTTATTATTTGGGGGGGAACCATGGAGTTTTGTATTCCCTGGGAGATATGTATTCAAATTCTCCCAAATATGTCATGTAAAAGAGCGAATGGACTAGCATCCAAAAGTCAGAACTAGGAGCAGTGGGTGGATATGAAGGAGATAGATTTTCCTTCCTGTAAGACCAAACATTTCTTAAAATGAAAACTCCAAGAGAATGTGCTCCCTCGTGTACTACTGAGCTTTCTGGTGCCGGAGGAATTCAAGTAGAACTTGTATGACCTGAATAATTTTTATCTAGCAGGAGTGTAAAAGGGGTGATCTCTAGGGATACTCGTAGTTCTAAAATTCTGTGATTCACCCTGGGTCGTCTTTTCCAGCTGTCAAAATAACATATAATTTTGTTTATTTCAGACTTATTTTATAGTGTGTGCTACAGCAGAGGCCCAAAGGTCAGTCATCTTAAATTCTTTAATAAATATTTATTATTTCTCCATTTGGGAGAAATAAAGTATTAAGGAGTCTTCATTAAGTTGTAAATTCATAGGCTTTCCTCTAACATAAATACATAGTTATTAGTGACATTTTGGGTTTATATAGTTTTATTTTTCCTAACACTGATCATTTCATCACTGTATCTTTTAATTTCCTTATTAAACACTGAGGGAGAGGTGTCTGATATCAGACCATTTGCCTCTGATTCTATGAGGCTGAGGCTCATCGATGTTCTTATCTCTGAGGGCTACCAAAAAATGGCTATGACCAAAAAATGGCTCATAGTGGTCCAGGCATGGTGAAATTCAGTCAGAAAAGAGGAAACACAATATGGAACTCAGAATGAGAAGAAAGGGGGAAGGAAAAGATTGGAGGAAGAAAAGAGAAAAGTAGAAATTAAAATGTATACAAGAGAAAATCAGAAATTGTCCAACAATTATTGGGGTTGCACAGATAAGTAACCCTTTTAAATTGCATCCATTGGTTGTCCTGTGTAAGCCTGCATTAGCCAATGGCTTATACAGCAATAATCTCACCATGAGAACCATGAATATTCCACGAGAGTCTGAGTCCTAGAAAATGATAATTTCCACTCATCAAACTGTTCATTGGTACAAGTCATGACAAGTCTTCCATGTAATTATAAGTTGACTCTCTGTCGTCTATATGTTTTAATTCAGTTCCCTTGCCTCTTCATTTTTTGCAGCATTAATTTTTTTTTCCACCTACACCAAGGCTAAAGTAGAAAGAAACAGGGAGAATGTCTTAAATTCTTAGTTATCTGATAATCTAGATTGCCAGAGAGATTTGGGATTTAACAGACGTTGACATTCATCTAGACTGGTTTGTGAAAGGGTTCCCATGATGGAAACTCAAATGTCTGTAGACACCAAGCAAGTAGCCAGCTGTGGCAATGGGAGACTAAAGGTGTCAAGGTGCTTACCTTTGCAACCAAGTCTCACCCCAGTCAATTCATTGTACAGACAGGCAAAACAAACCACACAGCATCTGTTTGCAACATCTATGAATGTGAATCTCTATAAATGTCTTATTAAAGTTCAGAGCATTGTAGATGAATATTTAGAAGGTTATTGGGTGACACTGCAAGTTAATACTGTCAGTGCATAGGTAGGTTTCCAATTTAGTAACATTCTGGTTATATATTTCTCTTTACAGCACATTAAATTGTACATTCACAATAAAACTGAATAAGACGATGAATGTGTGTGCTATAATGGTTGCTTTGAAAAGAGTACATATTCGACCAATGGGTAAGTTGTCTCTATTGCTGTGTTCATTTACTCATTACTCTCCATGTGTGCTTTTATAATTAAAAATATAATTAATAAGTTTGCATATGTTTCAGCTTTCTGTTTGACTCTTTTGTCCTTAAGCAATTTTTAGAAAGCTCAAGAAGGTTATTTTTCCTGCTTTCTTATAAAATTTCAATATGCCATTAGAAAACTTGATAAAAACAAACCCTATTGAGAGGGAGAATTGTTTCGATTGCTACTGGGATATGTTTACTTCTTTTTTGAATTAACAAGCAAAAAATTGTATATATTTTTGGTGTCCAGTATGATGTTTTGATATACATTATGGAATGGCTAAAGCAAACTATTTAACGTATGCATTATCTCACATACTTTATCATTTTTTGGTGTGGTGAGAACATTTAAAATCTTAGCAATTTTCAAGCATACAATATATTGTTACTTAGGGTAGTCACCATGTCATATGATAGATATTTAGAATTTATTACTTTAACTGAAATTTTGTGTCCTTTAACCAACATCTCCCCAGTCTGGTAACCACCATTTCATTCTCTGTTTCTATGAGTTAGACTTTTAGATTCCACATCAGAGTGAGATCGTGTGGTATTGTTTTTCTGTGCCTGGCTTATTTCAATTAACATAATGTTCTCCAGGATATGTTTACTTCTGATTCCTCTTAGGTGTTGAACAGTGATTGATGTTACATGAATATAACCAAACAAGAAAAAAAAAAAGCATTCACTCAATTACCATTTTTGAGCACCTACTATATAATTGTGTAATTGCCAATATAAAGGCATTTGATTAATTTTACCACCAGTTATAGACAATCTCTATTTAAAATGCAGGCAGTATAAGAACCATATATTTGATGAGTCTGAACTTCTACATTACTTCATTCTTGACCATGATTTTTTTTTTCCTTTTCTTTTTGTCTCCTTCAGAAGAGTGCTGCTGTTCTATGAGGACACCTTGCCCCTCTTCACCAGAAGAGTTAGAAAAACTGCAATGGTATGTAGCAAACTTTGTTTGCTTTTTTCAAAACAAAATATAGGCATGTAATTTAATTTCCATGCTAGCTAAGGATTGCTGGAAATAGGGGAGTGAAGAAAGGCTTTGAATTTTAGGGAAAATGTCATTTTCTGTTATGAAGTTTCAACTGAGACCATTGCTTTAAACCAATGATATGTAATCTTGGCTGAGCATCAGAATTACCTGAGGAGCCTTACGAATATTCTGACACTGTACAGTCTCACCAACTAAATGTCATGTCATTCAAAAAAATTGCCAGCTGGCTGGGGTTGTGGCTCAGTAGTAGAGTGCTTGCCTAGCATGTGTGAGGCCCTAGGTTCAATTCTTAGCACCACATATAACTAAAATAAAATAAAGGTCCATCGACAACTAAAAAAAAAAAAAAAATTAAATGGCCAGGTTGATAGATGAGAAATGGCTTTTCGGTGTTGCCTCAGTTGACATTTCTCTTATTAAGACTGAGTCTGGACATTTTTTTTTTCATATATTTGGGGATCATTTTGTATCTTTCTGTGAATTATGTTTTTATGTCTTCTTTTACTTTTTCTAATAGATATTTGATCAGTTTTTAAGAGGACTTTATATATTGTGAGTGTTAGCTCTTTATCTGTGGTATGTGCTAGGGATTGAGCTCAGGGCCTTGCACATGCTAGCCAAGCACTGAGAATTCCCAGCCTTGTCCATTGTCTGTTTTGAATTTGTTTATCATGGTTTTTTTCCTGGAAATTAAAAAAAAATTATGTGACTAAATTTATCAGTCTTTTCTTATATTGCCTGTAGATTTGGAGGCATGATTAGGAAGCCTTTTGCTATATCAAGGTGGTAGAGGCATTTACCCTTTTATTTTTATATACTTCTGTGGTTTAATTTTTCACATTAGATTCATTGAATCTATTCTTGTGTGTGGTGTGAGATATGGATCTAATTTTATCTTCTTTCAAATATTTAGCAAAATTTATTAAAAAGCACCATTTATTAAAAATTCCATCTTTTTCCAGGGGTTTGAGGTGACTCCTTTATTATATATACTAAATTTTGATAGGATTCAGGAGGCTGAAGTAGGAGGATCACAAGATTAAGGCCAGTCTAGGTAACATAGGGAAACCCTGTCTCAAAACAAATAAAACAAAATAAACAAATATTGGTCTAATTCTAGATATTAGAAGAAGCTGTTGAGGGTACATGGAATTCTTATTACTGTTTTTGAAGAATTTCTGTGAGCTAAAATTTGTTCAAATTAAAATGTTTTAAAGAAATACTGATTCTTATTCACCCCTCAGAGATTCTGATATAATTGGTCTGGGACATGGCTTAGGTATCGAAAGCCTTTCTATTGATTCTAATCTGTAACTAAGTTGAGATTCACTGCCTTAAATTTATCTTTTCAATGGAGGAAAACTGGGAGATAGATGCTTCAAAATAGCAGAAGACTCTGACAGTTGCCTATAATGTGATCACAGGGGTATAAAAAATAGACATAGAAAAAAATAGGAAAGAAATGAATGAAAATGTTCACAATGGTTACCCATGATTGACTTGTCTGCTGGCATGATGAGTATTTTATTTTTTTTTTTACTTTTTATTTCTTCTTACCATCCCCTGCTTTTCAGCATTTTCTAATTTTTTCGATTGGTCAGATAAAAATTGTATTTGAAAAAAAAAGACATGCATTTTTTTTTTAAATGTGAAAGCTTCCTATATGGAATAGAAGGTTAAGTGTAGTTTGTCTGCTCTGGGTGGGTTATATTTCTGGGGTATATGAAAACATTGAGCTCAAGGAATAGCTAAAAGTCTTTGGTTAAGAATTTATAGCATTTTTTTTTTTTTGGCAATAAAATGTGAAGAGGAACATACCTCATTAAGCTTGACATCCCCTATTAAGCTGGAAGGTTGAGACCCATTTGGGGGATAGAATTTCTGGAAGCATCAGAATGAAAGCAGAAGATCATCCCTCTTTTGAGGCAGCCCTACTATACCCTAATGGCTACCCATTCAGGGAGGTATTAGGAAGAAGAAGCAGAACATAGAAAAGAAGGCAGAATGTGATCCCAGTGTCTGGCTAGGGCTATATCATTATCTAGCTGTGTATTCAAGTTCTAGAGTAGCTGCTTTTTTACCTTCAAAGTTCTAGGTAAAATGAGGAAACAAATTAGATCTCCATGAAATTAGGAAGTGGATTAGATAAGCAAATCTCAAATATTCCTGTGTCTATCACTCACTGAGGATCTGTTAAATTGCATATTGTAATATAGTAGGTATGGGGTGGGATCCTAGATTGTGTATTTCTAGCAAATCTCTTGATAAAAAGCCAGTGCTGCTGGTCCCTGGACCCTACTTTGAGAATTGAGAATCTAGGCCATAGAGCAGCGCAGTGGTTCTCAATTCTGGCTGCATTTTGCAACCATGCGAGGAGTTTCAAAAACACCAGTGTCTGCCTCCCACTCTCAGAGACTGGTCTGGAGTATAGTTTGTACTTCTGGGTTTTTACACCCCCTCCCTGAAGTGAGATGATTCTAATGTGCAGCCAAATTTGAAAACCACTGGGCTAGAATTGAATGATCACCAGGATCTTTCTAATGTATTGGTTCTTAAGATGGATGGTATGTTAGAAACACCTGGGACACTTTGAAAATGTGTTGATATATTAAAGTGGCTTTCTGGAAACCCTATATGTTTAGATCTAGATCATATAGGTCTGTACATATGTAAAAGTTTATCAAGCTCTGAATGTCAGATGAGAACACTCTATGAGGGCCATATCTCTATGAGTAAGCATATTCAGAGGGGTACAAATGCCCAGCCCCATTGCCAGAGACTGCAGGTCAGCTGGCACTTCTCTTTATGGTTGTGACTGGGCTTATGCCCCTCCACTTAGTAGTCCTCCCTCCTCTCACTCAAGAGAAGCTCCAAGACACATTCTCCTTGGTGTTCTAAGTCTCTAAAACTGGGTCCATCAGAGACATCCCTGGGTGATCATTTGTTGTCCCCTCAAAATTTTCCCCCCTATAGACTAATAGATCATGTGCTGATAGTAGGTGAGTTCTTCTCAATCTTTGATACTCAGGAAAATCACCTGAGAGTATAAAAAATACACGTGCCTGGGACCTCCACACCCCAACACCTCGTCCCAAGACCAACTGCATCAGACACTAAGGAGTAAGCCAGACAAGTCAATCTACGTATTTCTCTCTCTCACTCTCTCTCTCTCTCTCTCTCTCTCTCTCTATATATATATATATATATATATATATATATATATATATATATATATATATAATATTATATATACATATATAGAGAGGATTTGTTTTTTAAAGTTCTTTGGATAGTTCTCACGCATCAAGGGCAGATGATTTACAAGCTGGGGACCCCATTCCTTTGGCTCCAGTGTGATTTATCTTTGCATTCAACCAACTTTTCTTGGTCATTTACCATGTGCCAGTACCACTATGTCAGACTATAGCAGTATGAAGTTGGTTAATACAGATTCCTAGTATATGGAAATTCTTGGTCATTTACCATGTGCCAGTACCACTATGTCAGACTATAGCAGTATGAAGTTGGTTAATACAGATTCCTAGTATATGGAAACCACTTGGGTCATAGGGCATTTAACAGCTCCCTTCCCTAGTAATACATGGGAATGCCATAGGATCCCCTCAGTGGAGTAATAAATGATAAGGCAGAGAGCCCCAGAGCAGCTGCAAATTAGTGAAACAGAACTAGGGGGTCTAAAAGAATGTTAAAAATTCTTCCCCCTAGAAGTAGGTGGTAGAAGCAGTCAGGGGCCAGTGGCAGGGGCACAGAGGGTGTGAAATGGCAGAGACTGGAAGTGGTACATCTTTGATGTAACCATGTCAGTTTGGTGGTGTCAGATGGCTGCCAGAGGAAGGAGATTCACTCCTCTGTAGACATTTGTGTCTCACATGCATCTCTGATTTTTTTTCTTTTAGTGATCTGCAGGATCCCATTGTCTGTCTTGCTGAATATCCACATGGCCCACCATTTTCTTCTTCCAGCAAACCCATCCCAGTTGCTCCTCAGACCACCATCTTTTCCCAGATATCCAGTGCCTTCTCTTTTGCTGAATCCCTTAATCACCCTCCTGTGACCCAGAACACTCCCTCTCTGACACAGAAGAATCACTTTTCTCTTCCCCAGCCTTCAGCTCCCATAGCTTCCAGCCCTGCCATCAATATGCCCACCCAATCTGGAACTCTCTCTTCCCCTCTGCCCCAAACCAATCCTTCCCATACCCCACCACCTGTGAAGTCCTCACTTCCCTCTCCCACCACACCTGTCCCATCTGCATCTTCAAATGACATCAGCATCAGCACTCCTCCTGTCAAAACAGGTAAGTATAAGAAGCCAAGCTGCTCCTGCGGTAGTTGGGATTGGGCCTGACCGGCAGCTGCCGGCTTTCAAATCAAGATGTGTGATAAGACCACGTGGAGCCTTTCTTTTTTGGAAAGGGAGAAACATTTAGAAGATCTAGGCTTAGGTCCTCACAGACAAGGTGATCTGGGACAAACAGTTGACTCCTGCTCTACCTATTCTGTGTAAAGATGGAAATAACCACACTAACTGCACTGCATTAAAAATGATGGCAGGCATGAGAATAGTGTGGAAACTGCAAGGGGCTCCCAGGTGCCAGGTAGGCTTAGTGTTACCTAGATAAAGGCAAGATGGAAAGAAGCAGAGAATTCTGGATACTCTGGAGTTTCAAATCAGTGTGTAAGAAACAGATCTTCCTCTATAATTTGGAGCCTGGGAGGCAAAGCCAAATTTTGGGTGACATTAGATTGAAGCTCAGGTATTGTTTTCTGCCCCCTTGTCATGGCTCTAGCATCACCAGGAAATTTGGAGCTTCTGCCAAATGACTTGTTAATTCTTCCACTTTGAATACCCTCTCTTAAATAATTTTGAAAATAAATATTAACCTTTTAGGTAAAATCATAGGATCATTAGGGCCCTAGTCAAGGGAAGTTTCAGTGGCTGGTAAAGAATAAAGTTCAATTGAAGTTTGTTAGTCTAGGCCTGCAAAATCCATCTTTCCAAAGCTATTCCCATCTATCCTTAGAATCAACCTAAGGGGTTGCACAAAAACCATCAAAGTAGCCTCCTGATCCTGTGCTTCTACTCCTGGGGCATCAGAAATGATACCTGCAGAAGATGCACATTGGAGTATTACCTGGTAGCCCAAAAGTAGATAAAACTTAATTCCACGGGAGAGGAATGATTACACAGGATATGCCGCCTCAACCCAGTGACTATCATGAAACCATGTAGGTCATTAGAACAGCTATATAAAAACTCTTGGGGGCATTTTTCAAGTCTGGATGTGAATTTAAAAAGGCCCAGTGACAGATATTTTGCTCACCATGTTTATAATAGTGTGAATACACAGGGATAAAGATTGGAAGGGAATATGCAAAATAATAGAATGTTAGTGGCAAAATGAAGAGACTTTTTTGCTGTTAAAGATAGGTTTATATTCTCAGTTAAATAGACTATAAAAATCAGGCTCAGCTGAGAGTCCAGCTCCAATTAGATACACTATAAAAATTAGGCTTCCTGAGAGTCCAGCTGTTGATTTCATAATTTTTTCACAAAAGGGCTTCTAGTGACCCACATAAAATCCTGTGTACATGATATAAATTAAATGCAAGTATATTTGCAGTGGTGTGATATACACTAAATACTCTGATACGCTTTTATATTTTTGAGTTAGGTTTACTGAAGTATATAATTTACATATAGTAAAATTTATCTAATTCTGTGGATAAATGAATTTTTTTTTCTTTCTTTGGTACTGAGGATTGAACCCAGGGACACTCTACCAGCACCCCCCCCCACACACACACACACCCTTTTTTAAATTTTAAGATAAGGTTTCACTAAGTTGCTTTGGGTCTCACTAAATTGCTGAGGCTGGTCTTAAACTTGCCATCCTCCTGTCTTAGTCTCCCAAGTTGCTGGGATTGTAGGTGTGCACCACCACCCCCAGCTAAGTGAAATTTTTATTGTTCTGTGCAGTTGGATAAGTACCCATAGTCATGTAACCATGATCACCAATCAAAATATATAACTTAGCCAGGTGTGGTGGCTCATGCCTGTAATCCCAGTGGCTCTGAAGGCTGAGGCAGGAGGATTTCGAGTTCAAAGCCAACCTCAGCAAAAGTGAAGCACTAAGCAACTCAGTGAGATCCTATCTTTAAATAAAATACAAAATAGGGCTGGGGATGTGGCTCAGTGGTTGAGTGCCCCTGACTTCAATCCTTGGTACTTCCTCCCTCAAAAAAAAAAAAAAAAGATATATAACTTTTCTACCACCCCCAAAGTCCCCTTTGGTCTCTTTGAAGCCAACACTTACCCCCACCAGCCCCTCCACCACTAATCTGTTCTATTTCCCTGTAGTTTTGAATTTTCTAGAATGTCATATGTCGAGAATCACATAGTATATGGCCTTTTGAGCTTGGCTTCTTTCACTTAGCATAATGTGTTGGAAAACTGGTGATCCACTCATGTTGTAGACTGCATTGGTCAATATTTCCTTTTTATCACTGAGTAATATTCCACTGTATGGATATATACTACTGGGATTGCAGGTGTGTGCTGTAATCATGCCTGGCTCATGACTAAGCTTTCTTAAGAAAGCTTTTCTAAACTTTCTTTTCTCTGGGGCAATTATCTAAGATCAGGTTGACCAGATCAGATCAGGGGCTTTGTATGTTTATCTATGTTTATCTTTATTAGTGATCTTTCTATCATGTGTTCATAAAACAATTTTCCTCTTTGATACAGAAATTTTCAACACCAGCAGTGTTTCTGATCTTGAGAACCAAGTGTCCCAGATGGAGAAGACTCTGTCCTTTGGCAGCTTGGAGCCTAACCTTGCAGGCGAAATGATAAACAAAGTCAGCAAACTCCTTCATTCTCCTCCCGCCTTGCTGGCCCCTCTGGCTCAAAGGTATGGCTTAGCAAACTAAAGAGGTGCTAAGAGGGACCCTCTAATAGTAAAGATGCTGTGTACATGATGAATTATAGCCAATTGTTTTTCTCTCAAGGAAAGTTCGTTTGACTTCTCAAGTTGCTACTCTACAACTGCTTAGAATGGGGGAGACAAAATGAGAGTGCTAAATTTAAACTGCCGTCTCTCTTTACAGGTTGCTAAAAGTTGTAGATGACATTGGCTTACAGCTGAATTTTTCAAACAAGACCATAAGTCTAACCTCCCCTTCTTTGGCTCTGGCTGTGATCAGAGTAAATGCGAGTAATTTCAACACAACTACCTTTGTGGCCCAAGACCCTGCAAATCTGCAGGTACAGTCTAATTTTTTATGGGAAAAGTATTTGACTATTTCTGTGTATCCTTAACAGGTTTCCTTTCCCGCTTGGAGTCCTCGTCTCATTATTTCATATCCTCTCTTTCATTTAGTAGCAACCAAAGAGAGAAGCAGGAGCCATTTTATGTAGAAGTACCACAGATCAAGCCCTTACAGGACCCTCCATCTTAATTAGCCATGTTTTCCATCTCCTTGTTATACCAGTTCCAGATATTTTCATTATCTCTTACTCGATTTTCAGGTTTCTCTGGAAACTCAAGCTCCTGACAATAGTATCGGCATGATTACTCTGCCTTCATCGTTGATGAGTAATTTGCCAGCTAATGATGTGGAGCTAGCTTCCAGGATTCAGTTCAATTTTTTTGAAACACCTGCCCTGTTTCAGGTAAAGTTGCTGCTCACTGCTTTTGGTTTGCGTTTCATTTGGAGGTGGGGGATTTATTCCTTTTAACCCTCGTATATTTCTACACCTGCTACAAGTCAAATGAATTGCTGCAACTCTGCAGTTTATATTTATTCATAGCCTAATGGTGCTGGTGATGATAACTAACTGTAACAGACACTTACATAATATTTACCAATTGCCAAGCACTGCCCTAAGCATTTATTAATGTTGACTCGTCCTTCTAGCAAAGCTATGAGGGAGGAAACTACGCAACGGAGGCACAGAGAGGTTAAGTAACTTGCTCAGGGACATTCAGTTTAAATGGACTAATATTATGTTCCTTTGAAGATTCATGAGGTCCTATTGTGTTGATCTATGCAATTTATCTCAGTATTTATGGCATTATAGTGAAATAAGGTCTGCTTCTAATTGTGGTCCCTTGGGAAAGTCACTTTATTCCTGGACCCTCAATTTCTGACCTACCATTATAAAATAATGTGGTTTAAATGTCTTTTGTGTCCCTTCTAGCTCTAAAACTCTGATCAAATTTTATTTTCCCTTGTCATCTTGCTGATTCTTTGGTGTTCTAGGACCCTTCTCTGGAGAACCTTTCTCTGATCAGCTATGTCATATCATCAAGTGTTGCAAACCTGACTGTCAAGAACTTGACAAGAAATGTGACAGTCACACTGAAGCATACAGATCCAAGCCAGGTGAGGAGAGGCCAGTCTGAGCTGCTCATTGACTAGGAACACCTTATGCAAACTATGTCCATAAGACATGACTTGAGAAAGACAGCAAAAAGGATCTTGAACTCATTAGACTCATGTGTGAGACTAGAATTGAATAGTTACTCTATAGGATCTTAACACACCTAGTAAATGACCACCTAGTATCCAAGAAGGATGGATGCAAATGCAAGCTCTTGTCAATTGCTGAATTTCAGGTCTGATTTTCACCTCAAAGAGATAGCCTTTCAGCTCAGTTCACTTTGAACTTCAGCTGTGACCTCTCTATTCACAGTGTGGTTTGCATACTGGAAGCATCACCATCACCTGGGAGTTGGCTAGAATGTAAGCTCTCAGGACCCACCCCAGGTCTACTCAATCTGACTGTGCTTTATCAAGGTCCCAGGGCCATCCCTATGCATGACTGATATGCTTAAGGATTCATGACCTATATGGGGCTCCCTCTTGTGGGGACCACATAAAACAGTAACTCTCAAAATCAAGCATGAGATTTTGTAATAAAAAATACCATAATTTTTTTCCCAATTGCTTTTCAGTTCAGAAAATTAATTAATTATGATTTATCTTTCTACCGCAGGATGACTTAACAGTGAAATGTGTATTTTGGGACTTGGGCAGAAATGGTAGGTTCTAGTCATAACCTTGTCAAGATCCTGAGTGGATGATTGGGGAAGGTGGGGAGTCATGGATGCTATGGCCTTGCTGATAGGACAGATATTCTTTCTGATGCCAACAGGTGGCAGAGGAGGCTGGTCATCCGATGGCTGCTCTGTCAAAGAAAGGAAGCTGAATGAAACCATCTGTACCTGTAGCCACCTTACCAGCTTTGGGGTCCTATTGGTAACATGACCATGCGCAATGGCCTTGTATTCTGGGACTGAGGGGAAGCTGGGCAACATATCTGGATATCTAATCTAAAGTATGACTTGAACAGATAAGCAGATAGCATGGTATTATGGCAAAGTTATACACCAATGAGATTACTTTTCTAATAAGCAAATGCATCTAAAGGAAACTATCTGAGTATGAATACAAACATTTTTTCACATTCTTTTTTTCCCCCATTACTGGGGATTGAACCCCAGGACCTCACACATCATACAATAGGCAAGTGCTCTACCCCTGAGCCACATCCCCAGCCCTTTTTAAATTTTATTTTGAGACAGGGTCTCTCCAAGTTGCCTAGGCTGGCCTCCAAATTGCAATTGTCCTGCCTTAGCTTCTCGAGTCTCTGGGATAACATTCTATTGCCAGGCTCACACTCTATTTTTACATTTAAAATTTCTCCTTTAAATGACTCAGACAAGGAATTTAGATTACAATGGACAATAAAAATTGTTTAGTTTGCAAAGCATTTCAAAAAAAATTTTTTTTGAAGGGGGTACCAGGTAGTGAACTCAGGGGCACTCAAACACTGAGCCACATCCCCAGCCCTATTTTATATTTTATTTAGAGAGGGTCTCACTGAGTTGCTTAGGGCCTTGCTAAATTGCTGAGGCTGGCTTTGAACTTGTAATCCTCCTGCCTCAGCCTCCCAAGATGCTGGGATTACAGGTGTGTGGCACTATGCCTGGCACATTTTAAAAATCTGAAAAACATTTTGACATAAATAATCTTTAATCTCTTTCACAGTCCTAAAAGATAGGTAGCATGGGGCACTGTTGTTGTTGTTTTATTGAAATTATAATCAAAGCTCGTGGCATTTGCCCAACCATAGAATTAAGAAATGTAAGAGCCAAGAGCCAAATGCCAGTCTTTAGAATCCCGGTCTAGTGCTTTGCCCATGCATTGTAATGCAGTGACCAAGTACATGGGATTTAGAGTCAGGATCACCTGAATTCGAATGTGACTCCTCTACTTCCTAGCTATGTGAGCTTGGGCAAGTTGCTTAACCTCTCTGATTAAAATATTTGTGCCTACCTCATAGGTTGGTTCAATGGACTATAGATGGATACCTAGCACACTCAAAAAATGTAAATTATGACTCATTGTTTATATAAAAATATTTGATCATTGAAAGCATTGTTTTCTTTTCCAGGACCTATCTCGGACATCTTTACCACCTGGTCAAATGATGGCTCTGACATTTATAACATATATTGGTTGTGGGCTTTCATCAATTTTTCTGTCAATTACTCTTGTAACCTACATAGCCTTTGAGTGAGTATCCTTAACTGGAAATTTGGATTGTAGGACTTGATGCTCGCCTCCATCACCAAAATGTATTAATTAAGCACTTTCCTCAGCCTGCCCTGCCCTGTACACCCACCTAGTGGAGCACCTAGGTGTGAAACTTTATGAGGCTTTTTGGCTTCTCTGCTTGCTTCCTTCCATAAGTCTTCAAGTTCAGTAAAGGCAAGGATTGCAGCATAATTGTCTCTGTACCCCAGAGTGATGCCTGGTACCTAGTCGACATTTAGTGTGAAATGAAAGATGGACACACACCCTGAAATCCAAGACCTTATAGTCTGAAATAGGCTACAGCAACACATGAAACAGAATAACTATGAGTAATTAAGCTTCTAAATTATACTGAACAAGCATAAAAGATTAAATATATTAACTGGTTTAGAGATAATGAAAAAGGGTATAAAAAAACCTCACTGGGAAAAAAAAAATAGATACTTGGTGGGTGAGGCTTTGTAAGTCAAAACAGGAATGACATTCCAAAAAATGGCTTCTCTTGGCTCACCAGAAAGGTTCCTCTAGTCACTTTTTGGGGAAAATTCCAACAAATTCTATTGAAAAAGAAAGAACTAGGCATTCTTGTCATATTAGCTAATTGAAACAATATGTAGATTCTGGGATTTAGATTTTGGACACTGATGAGGAAATGTACAAATTTATTTTCAGTGCCAAATTTAGGGTCCAGCTGTGACTACAGATCTTCTGGTGGACCTTTGGAAATATTCTTAGTGAGACTAAATTACCATAAAGCCAGCCATTACTCAGAATGATTTCACCAGTTCTAATTTTGCACATATAAACATGTACATGTCATCAATTAGCTGTATTTTCCTCTGCCATTACATTTAGCTATAGTTTAAACTCTTTCCATGACCTCATTTTAATTAATAACCTAGGATAATATGGGAATCTGGCTACATTTTGAAGATCTGAATTTAGTAGTCTATTACATGAGAAGGAGCAGCAATGCTTCTAGAAGTAGTTTGGGAGATATGGGGTGGGTAGTCAGTAGAATCTACTACAAACTATTTAAAAGTATGGGTCAACAGTCAGCATGTAAAAAGTCCCACAGAAATCTATACACAAATGTTCCATATGGTTACCATAGATGATTTGGTTAAGATTTTTCCTTTGTTGCTGGTTTTAAAGTCCCCCATACATATACCCACTCAGAGAGAGAAAATTTATACATATCTTAGACATTTACCAAAGAATAAAAATAAACTGTCTAGAACTCATAGATAGCCTGTCAAATATGCTTATGTAAGGATTGGCAAAATGTAATGTTAACCTTTTCTTGCTCTTTCCTTTTAGAAAGATCCGGAGGGATTACCCTTCCAAAATCCTCATCCAGCTATGTACTGCTCTGCTCCTGCTGAACCTAATATTTCTCTTGGACTCATGGATTGCTCTTTATAACACAAAAGGCCTCTGCATCTCAGTAGCTGTATTCCTTCATTATTTTCTCTTGGTCTCATTCACATGGATGGGCCTAGAAGCATTCCATATGTACCTGGCTCTTGTCAAAGTGTTCAATACTTATATCCGAAAATACATCCTTAAATTCTGCATTGTTGGCTGGGGTACGTATAAATTTGCTTTCATATGCCCTGGACATTTTCTCTAGTGTTTTGATTTTTATTAAGGTAGAGACATGATGAAGCAGATCACACTTGGCAAGTTTCTAAAACAGCTTTCTATTCCTACAGGCTGCACTGTATTACACCTTGTGTAATATTTTTCTAGGACATGGTATTTCCTCTAGATTTATTATGAATGTAAAACTCTTTGAGGTTGGGCCATGAATCCTTGTTATACCTCCAACAACTAGAATTTGAGCTAACACAGAAAGTGCTAGAAGGTACCAGAATGTGCTCAATAAATTAAAAATGTTTGTGGTAATAAGGCCAAATTCTCCATCCCTGAGCTCTTGGCTAGTCTTGTTCTGATGTGTACCTCCCACATACCAGACACATGTATGAGAATGATGTACTCCAAAGGGCAGAGTGAAAGGATGTACACGTAAACCAATGTAACTTCACTGCCACACTGGCACAATATTTCAGATCATGTTACCTATTGGTGGTGGGTCACAAAGCCTTAGACTTCCCCAAGATCTTGTAGGGCTTCTTCAAATCCTAACCCAATGTTGGTGCCTCCTCAAATCCACCTGATTTTCCTTGACTAAAGATAATCCAAATGCTGCTTGAACACTTCCGTTACTGGGGAGCTCATTATCTTACAAAGCAGCCAATGACCACTTTCCAAAGCTCTTCAGTTCCGTTTTCCCATTAAGTTCACTTGGCTCCCTGGAGACATTTATCAATGGTTTTGCTGTCAAGACAAAATCCTCCTCCTCCTCCTCCTCCTCCTCATCATCATCATCATCTGACACCTCTTCTGCATAGGAATCCTTTGGATTATTCACAAGTAGTATAATACCCAATTTTTCAAGGTATTTTCACATAAGTCACCTTATTAAAATCAAGCCTGTGGGGTACTTAAGGCAGTTTTTGTCAACTCCAGGTGAAGAAACTGGCTCAAAATGCCAGTGTGATTTATCCCCAATTCAGAAGGCTAGAAGTCAGCCAAGCCTGCATTTCTGATTCCTTGTGCAGGCCCCTTCTACTGTATTCCAGCTGTCACCATTCTGCAGACTCCCTCTTCTTCAGGCTAAACAGTCCCTACATGCCAGGAGTGCAAACCTTTCATCATCCTTATCACCCTGCCTGTCATTCTTTGTGAAGAAAAATAAAACAACTTTTTCCCCTAACTTGCCCCAGAAAGATAAGTCCCTGTTCTGGATATTGGGCACAGATTCTGTCTTCTTTAGAGAAAGCTTAAAGGTCAGACACCCTTGTGAAGAACAAGCTGCCCTACTATCACTATTTGATTTTAATTTATTTTATTTAATTTATTTTGTGGTGTTGGGGATAAACCTAGGGCCTTGTGCATGCTAGACAAATTCTTTGCCACTGAGTTATATCCCCAACCTTCCAGTATTGTATTTTTAGAAAAACATCTTTCTTAGGAAATTATCATATGTCAATATCATTAGAAGGTTCAAATACAAAGGATTTAAATGAAATATTACATTGTACCAGGCATTCCAGCCAGTCTGTGAAAGCAATTGTTTTTTATTTCCCTGAGCGTTGAGTTAGATGGCTGGTTGGTCTGTGTGTATAGGTGAGGTGGTGGCATAGAGCAGATGGGTAATGATCTAGAGGGATGAGAAGCCCTCTTTCCCAGCCAGAAATCATTTTAAACTTATAGGAACTTCTCATTTTCTTCTTCTTAAACTCATAGGCCCTTGAGAGAGCCAATAATAGTGGCAGCCACCTCCCCCATATCAGCTGGGATACGATGGGTTCTAAATAATCAGGATATGGGGGGATAGGGATTTTGGTAGAGTACTTACCTCACATATACAAGGCCCTGGGTTCAATCTCCATGCACCACAAAAAAAAAAAAAAAAAAGAATCAGGATTTTGGTTTCATTATGAATGATTCACCAGGAGTTGCTTACTCTTAAATTTACATTCCAGTCATGTGTAAGTTAAGGGTAACACTCACTACTATAACAGATAAGCCTTGAAATCTCAGATGATCATCTCCTGCTTATACATGGTCCAGTTACAAGGAGTAGCAGAGTCTCTGGTCTTGCAGTTTTTCAGGGATCCAAGATGATGAAGACTTCCTGGAAATGGTGTTTCCAAGGTTACTCTGAGTTTTAGGGAAAAGAGAATAAAAGATCTCACAAGGGCAGACCTGGAGTGGAATTTATCACTTCTGACCAAATTCCACTGACCAAAACTTAGTCATGTGGTGTTACAGGATTGGGGACTTACAGGAAACTGAGGCAGCAGAAAGCACCCCCCTTTTAAACCCCAATTCTAGGGATCAAGTCAGAAAGATTTAAGACAAGTCACTACAGTTATAGGTTTATTAGAAGGGATAGGAAAGGAGAAAGGGAACACTCTCAAGGGAGAGAATGGGTTGTCTCAGAGAAGAGAGGAACAGTGTGACTCTCCAGCTCTCCAGATTTATTGGAGATCCCAAGGAAGTTTCCAGAGAGTTCCACCCAGATTCACCTCTTGACTTTTGACTGACAGTAGATGACATCAGACCTTCAAGTCCTTACTGCCAAGGCAACTTTAGATCACTTTGGCCTCTGCTGACCATGGAACCTATTCTTACAGATTTTATGGTTGGGGGAATTATCCTTATCTCCCTGAGTTCTGGGATCTGATCTGTGTAAAGGTCACAAAAGTCCCCCGAAGCTTGTGTTCTTCTTATCAGCATCTCAGGGCCTGAATTTCTCCTGCAGATAACAGGTAGTTTGCTAAGGAATGTAACATATCTTGTCAGCTTAAGCCAGACAGGGCTACAAGTAAATAGCTTTTTAAAAGTAAAAGTGTGTGGGATCAGCACAGTGGGCCTCATTTATAGAACTAATCCCCTAACCTCATGTTCCTACCACTTGCATCTGTCCATCCCCTATCATAGCCATGCACACCTGGCTGCCAGGGAGGCTGAGAGGGTCTATCCATGTGTCAAAGAGAAAAAGAAACTCATTTGGTGAATAACCAGTCTCTACCATGCCACAAGAAGTAAATGGAATAATCTCTAGTCTTTTTTTCCTCACCACCTTTGGTTGTTAGAAGTATGTGTGACCAATGTTTCCCATCTTCCAGGGGTACCAGCTGTGGTTGTAGCTATTGTCCTGATTATATCCCCACATAATTACGGGCTTGGATCCTATGGAAAATTCCCTAATGGCTCACCAGATGACTTGTGAGTACAAAATTCCCTGAGGAATTGTTAAGTAAACTAGAAAATAAAATTCTCCAAGAAAATGGAGGATCTAATCAGCATATCAACTCCAGCTGTCATCATAATAAAATCTAATCATATTTAACAACAGCCTTCACTGTCATATGTAATGAGATAAGGTAGTTGGAGATGCAATTATTTAACTAATGAATTAGGAAAAACTATATTGGCAATATTTTATTAGCCTCTCATAAAAATGAAACAAATTACATTATATTAATAAAGCTCATGAAATAGAATTGCTAGAGTTTGCAAGGATGAAATCCTGAATGTCTAAAAATATTTTTTGAAAATATTTTTAATCACCAAGTGTCCTAAGATAGATTCTTTTCCTTAAGAGCCATAAATGGTTGTGGACAACAGCGGCTTTATCATTTTTTTTTCCTCCTGTAGAAAATGTTTTAGTGAAACATTATAGAATCAGTGTATCATTTAGAACACTATTTCATCATAGTAATGTGATTTCCCCTTTTTCTCCCCCCCCCCAAATTCCAGTTGCTGGATCAACAGCAATGCAGTATTCTATATTACAGTTGTGGGATATTTCTGTGTGATATTTTTGCTGAACATCAGCATGTTCATTGTCGTCCTGGTTCAGCTCTGTCGAATTAAAAAGAAGAAGCAACTGGGAGCCCAGCGAAAAACCAGTATTCAAGACCTCAGGAGTATTGCTGGCCTCACATTTTTACTGGGAATTACTTGGGGCTTTGCCTTCTTTGCCTGGGGACCAGTTAACATCACCTTCATGTATCTCTTTGCCATCTTTAACACCTTACAAGGTAAGCTCTACACCATTAAATACGAGCTGAATGATCCCAGTTGAATAATAAAATATCACTACTAAAAGAGTATCTGCAAAGTGGCTTAGTGGTTTAAAATACATTCATTGTTAAGATTTATTGCTGAGAAGAAGAGCTTTGAGATTCTTGGAAGAAAAGTGTTCACTAGATTCAAGAAATTGTGCTTTTCCCCTCTTTATTCATTGTTATCTCCTTGGAGAGGGAAACCTGCCAGGAACTCTTCTGAGAGAGCCAATTACTCTTCCTTCACTTTCTTCTTTCCTTTTTAATTTTTTTCCCTTTTAAACTAATTTATTGAAGTAGAACCATAAAAGCACACATACTATACATGTCCATAGGAAGGCTGGCCACTTCAACCTAGACCAGCATTTGATTTGGAGACATCAGATGATAAATGGAAAGGCAATAAACAGACCCAAGTGGCAACAGTCTTCCCAGAGGCTAATCCTTAGAAGTTACTGAGCTGACTCTGCAGCACGAAAGGGGCAGGCTCTGCTTATTGCCTTTCCCTTCTGAGCTTTCCATTTGTTAATGAAACTCAACAAATGTTCCTTTTGGAACCCTCATAGTTGTATTTTTTTTTTAAGTTTTTGTATTTTTAGATTGTCTTTGTTTGTTTGTTTGGCTGTTGTTAAATATGGTGCTAATCATATTTAACAACAGCCTTGAACCCAGTGCCTTGCACATGCTAGGCAAGCACTCTGCCATTGGGCTCTAGCTTCAGCCCCATAGTTGTATAGTTGTATTCTTTTTTTTTTTTAATTTTTTTAGTTGTAGATGGACACATTTCCTTTATTTTATTTATTTTTATGTGGTGCTGGGGATTGAACCCAGTGCCTCACATGTGCTAGGCAGCTGCTCTACAGCTGAGCCACAATCTCACCCCCATAGTTGTATTCTTTATGAAAGCAAATGACTGATTTTTTTTTTTAGAGTAGTGTTATAAAACACTTGTCAGCTGTTAATTTTTAATGGAAGTGCTTTGGCATTAAAAGCCCAGCAGGCTAATAGGTTTATATTACAATAACAATAATTCACTGTCCCTTGGCTTCCTTTTATTCCAAATCCTTGCTTGAGATTCTCATTGCAGTCTCTCATCTGCTTGTTTTCCTGTTGCTTTTAGCTCCCCTAGCACCCTCCCGTAGTTCCATCAGGCAATAAATCATTTTGCTGGTTTTCAAAGAAATCCCACCCAGACCAGAGTGGTGGTACACACCTGTAATCCCAACTGGGGAGGCTGAAGCAGGAGAATCACAAGTTCAAGGCTAACATGGCAATTTAGTGAGACCCTGTCTCAAAATTTTAAAAAATAAAATAAAATAGGTTGGGGATGTAGCTCAGTGGTAGAATGCTTGGCTAGCATTTCTCAAGGCCCTGGGTTCAACCCCTAGGACTGAAAAAAGAATTAGAAAAAAGAAATCCCACCCTGATGTGAATTCAGATATCTGATTTGGTCATTAGTTCTTATTTTATTTGGAGGAAGCCCTGCCGCAGTCTGGCTGGGCACAATTCAGGAGCCACTTGTCAAAAGAAACGAACTTTATTTTTAGAACCACACAGGCCAAACAAAACAGCTCCTCAGGAAAAACCCTCAGAGCCCAACTGCCACCACCGGCTTCCACAAGCCTCTCCCTCAACCACAAGCCTCACCACCTCCCACAATCCTCCTGCTCTTGAGGCTGATTGGCTGGGTTGCGTGGGTGGAGCCAAAAAAGTCGCCCAATGAGCATCACCGCCGAGGAGCCAATCATCTAGATGTTGCTGGGGCCGCTGTGAGCCAATCATCAGCTGGCAATCTGAAAGGGTGGGGAAACAGCTCAATGAGCATCTCCAATGAACATCACCACAGAGGAGCCAATCAGCTAGATGTTGCTGGGGCCGCTGTGAGCCAATCATCAGCCGGAAGCTGGAAGTTTGCTGGCAGCTGGAAGTTTGCTGGGGCCCCTTCGGCTGTGGCTCTCAACATCTCCCCCTCTCTGTTTAAACAACAAGCATGTAGCTTAGGGACCGTGCCTGCCTTAGGTTGTCCAATAGTACATATGGTTCTTACCCGTTATCGGATGAGCTGACCTCAAGGCGTCAGCCTCCTGTCTTAGGTTGGTACCATTGCAATTGGATCTTACCCGTCACTGACTACCGGTCCAGTATACAGCCACACCTGTGGAGAGGTCTTTGTACCAGCGGGGGGGGGGGGGGGGGTGAGGTTCTTTGCCTCATCTCTAAGCCCCAAATATGCTTATTGGTTACATATGGTTGTTAATTTCATCTGTAATATACCAGTCTCCAAATTGGTATATCCAGGTATCACACTACATGGTATTAAATACCAAAACAAAAACAACAGTAAAGAAGAGCAAATTATTTCTAAGGGTTTTGAGAAAAGTTTTATTTGCTAACAATGGCATACTTAAATAGTATATACTTTAAGACAAACAGTTTATATGCCCAAATCACATTAATCATTAACACAAAAAACTAGGTATCCACCGTCATGTTTAATGTGGAAAATGAACCTACCTCTTTTTCTGTATTTCTCCAGAAAATCTTCTTATTTGAGTTTGAATGAATAGAAAACATTTTCTGCTTCTTCTATAAAAGAGACTAATGCCTAATTCACAGTGCTTTTGAGTTGATTAAAGAGAGCTATGCATAGGTTCTGATTTGGGCTGTGTGCATCTCCATTTTGACCTCTCTGACACATGTTGTTTTCCCCCTAATGCAACCAAGGGTGGCTTCCCAAGGTGACACTTTGAGGAAAGGGATACAATATTCAGACAGCAGTCTTGAGGGTGGGCATGTGTACCCTATTAGAAGCAAATCTGGTATTTCAAAAGATTGTGTATTTCAAAAAGATTGTGTATGTCAAAAGGATTGTGGAGAGAGAGAGCACCTCATAATTCATCCAGACATTCAGCAAATATTATTGGCCAAAGCCTTGGGGAGTGGCAGAGAGAGAGGTGTGGGGAGCCTTGGCCTGCATAACTGGGGATGGAGGTGGTCAGGAGGTGGAGTCTGAGGGCCCCTTCAAATCTTCAGTTTGCTCTTCCTGCTGAGACATCCGGGGAGAATGTCCTTTAGCAGGTTGGTGGGCAGCAGGAAGATAGTTAATGAGTGTACTGGGTGTACCACCCAGGGAGGCACATTGGGAAAAGGCCAAGCAAAGACCTGACAGTGGGCCTGAGAGAAGAATGTGAGACTGTGAAGGAGATGACATTTGACAAAACTTGGAGATGGATTATGAATCCAGATGGAGGGAGAGGTAGGAGCCAAGGACTCACCAAGGTGGATGGCTTGTACTACCAAGACAGGGAAGGCCAATGACAGAATGTGAGAGGAGAGTCAGTGAACTTAATTTTGGAAATGTGAAGTTATCATTGTTTTTATATATTTTGGGGTTTTGTTGTTGTTGTTGTTACTGGGGATTTAACCCAGGGGCGCTCAACCACTGAGCTACATCCCCAGCCTTTTTATTTGTATTTTTTTATGTTTGAGACAGTCTTGATAAATTGCTTAGGGCCTTGCTAAGTTGCTGAGGCTGGTTTTGAACTTGCGATCCTCCTGCCTTAGTCTCCCAATCGCTGAGATTACAAGCTTGCACCACCATGCCCAGCCAATAAGTATTCTTTATCTTACAAAAATTTTTAAAAATGAGGGGCATTCTCTGGGTGCCTTTCCATAGCAAGCCTTGAACTTAGGACTTTTTTAGTAAATGTGCAAAATTTCACTTTGCCTATAGCTGCCAAAGATTTTATTTTTTTGTGCAAAGTAAGCTCACGATATTCAGGTCTTATTTGAAATTTATTATGTTATGGTTTGTTTTTCTGTTTTCCCCCTTCAGGATTTTTCATATTCATCTTTTACTGTGTAGCAAAAGAGAATGTCAGGAAGCAATGGAGGCGCTATCTTTGTTGTGGAAAGTTCCGGCTGGCTGAAAATTCTGGTAAAAATTAACCTTACTTTTTCTCTTCCTCTTAAATCTCAAGGAAAGGATGTATAAATTAAACGCCAAAGCAATCATTGCTAAGGGGCCCTTGGATCTGAAAATCAAAAAACAGAACCCATGCAACAGAAGCCTATGGATTGTGAACATTAGGGGGAAAACCTAGTGAATAGTGGTGTTTGGGAATTTTACAAGCAATAGAATTAGTGGACTGGCTGCTTCTTGAATGAAGGAAGCAACAGTGACATTTTTAGAATTTATTTCCTATTGAGTTCATGTTTTTCATTTCCCAAAGTAATTTTTAATATTTTCCTTCATAACTTTTTAAGGGTTGACTCAACTCTTTCTCCACAGGTCCTGGTTGTCAGTCACTTTATTTGTTAGCAGGCCAAACTTTGTATATAAGCTTTGTCACACATTTGGTTATTTGGAAGTTATTTTTGCATATGCTCTGTTGGGTAGTACATTTTCTTAAAAATGAGAAAAATTAAGTACTGTTTAAAAAAGCAAGATTCCTTTTGTGTGAATATCACCTTTGCGGTACCTGGGTTGGGGGCAGGGGTGGGTTGGGGGCAGGGGTGGGTGGGTGGGGAAGAGCACTAGAGTCTGTTCTCAGGAAATGGCAATACACATAGGCCAGTCATTTCTATGAATTCAAGAAGAATTAGACATCACAACACAGTTGATTTCTGTTATTGTGAAGACAGTGTGAGGCTTTGAATTAGTACCTAATTCAGTAGTTATTTATAGACACAATCAAATGAGCTTGGCTTTTAGTTCCAGGAGAGTATAGTTTACTTTTAACCAGACAGTCATTTAAAGGACAAATGTAAATAGTCTAAATGAAAACATCTTTTATCACACCAGCTTTGAAATGTGTGACTTCTCTGTAAGATCTCAAAGTGAGAAATCTGTTGCTAGAACTTGTTACACTGTGATCTGTCTCTTGCATTTGAGCTTCAACATAGGCCCTGTTTTTCTGTAATGCTTATTCTGCTGTAGACTGGAGTAAAACTGCTACTAATGGTTTAAAGAAGCAGACTGTAAACCAAGGAGTATCCAGCTCTTCAAATTCCTTACAGTCAAGCAGTAACTCCACTAACTCCACCACACTGCTAGTGAATAACGATTGCTCAGTACACGCAAGCGGGAATGGTATGTATGTCTCAATATAGTATTTCTCAAGCTAGTATTTATTTTTTTAAGTAGTTTTATCCTTTAGTGGTATTTTTGCAAAGCAAACTGAATAATTACATATATGACTAGTGGATCAAAATGGGGTTCCCTTACATAAAAGAGAAGTTTATTTACCCAAATATCGCCCAAAGACTTCAGTACTGGGCTCTATGAGAGCAGTACCTAAAATAGTCCTTGAGACTATATTCATTTTTATTACATCTATAATCGTATACATCTTCAACACTTTTAAACCTTCCTGTTTTTCACTTTTCATGTTTGTTAATTCTTTCCCACAGTATGGCTGCCTTGTGACAGCACCCAAATCCCCACAAATATATCAGATACTAGAAGATGAATTGTGACCAGTATTGGTGACCATATATGTCATCAATATATGAACAGATTATTGCTACTGTGCCTCCTGCACTCATTAAGTCTGACATTTCTAGCTAAAACTGCATTACATTTTCTTTCTTTCATGAGACTGGGCTGTTCATTACTCATAAAAGCTTGCCTTCTTCTGCTTCTTAATATTATCTTTTGCATTTTATAAAAACCTAAGTTCTACCAATATACTTTCTCCTTCCATGGAGAATTTATCTTTATTCACTGTTTAAGGGTGTTAGTTCTTTTCATGACTAATTCAAATAAATTTGTGAGAAAGTTCATACATTTACCAAATGGTTTTCCAGTCTCCTGAGGGTTGGGGAGCCCTGGTGGTTTGTTCAGACTTTAAAAATACAATAGGATGCCTTGAAATCAGTTTCTCAACCTCAGGTACAGGGGATATTTGGGGCTGGGTAATTCTGCTTTGTGGAATTGCAGGATATTGAAAGAAGCATCCCTGGCTTCTACCTAGCAGAGCCAGTAGTGCCCTACTCTCAGTTGTGGCAACCAAAAACATCCCCAGATACTGCCAAATATCCCCTGGGGGATAAACTTGCCCTTGGTTGAGAACTCCTTCTATAAAAGATAAGAAACTGCTGCCATGTGGCCTTGGATCTTCTGTCAATACCAGAAGAAAAGGTCTGGGCTCTTTGCCAAATAGCTATATCAGGAATGATTCAATGTAGGCAAACGGAGTAGAGGCAGTGGGAATCAAGGTTGGTTAATAACTTATTGTGAGAGAGCAAGTTGAAAAGCGAGAAATCGAAGAATGGTCTGGGTCATCCAGAAGTCTTAAAATTGCATGTGTTTGGCGTTCTTCATCCATAACCAGAGTTTTCCATATTCTACAGAGAGCTCGGAGATGAAGCTTCATCTGCCTAGCCCTATCAATATATTGTCATTCTTTGGGGAATCAAATTTGACAGAAGTAGCACATTTGACACAGCTGCTTGACACAGCTATTTTTGATGCCTGACAATGAGGAAGGGGTACATTTTAAGGCCACCAGAATGGCTGTTTCAGACTATCTAATAAGTCTGTCAGATGAATATTCCTGATTTGTCAGTCCTCACATTAGGTTCAGGAATGATGAGGAATGGAATTGGCAATTTTAAAAGAGACACTAGCAGCTGAATCGTTTGTTTATTATACTGGGACAAATTGTTCCTGCACCAAAATGTCCTCAGACCAAAATGCCTAAGTCAGAACAGCTGCCTCAGACAGTCACATGCCCTGTTTGAGCTGTGGCACAGATGGGGCTGCATTAACCAGATCCACCACCTTGTCTGCATGAATGTGACATATTTCAGTTCTAAGCTGCCTTAGATAAATCATATCACAGAGTCACAAGCTCACAGTGTGGAAGCAACATCCTCGCATGTTGATTTCATCCCTTCTGAGCCATGGAACTTTGGGCAGAGCACTTAATTTCTACAAACCTAATTCCATCATCTTTGAAATGAGCATAATAATATCCCATAGAGTATCTATCCCATAGAGTTATGAGATAATATTTATCAAGTGTTCAGTGCTGATATAATTACTGTTGTTATGATTACATCACCAACTAACAAATGGGCTTATTATTCCACTTCCTATACAGTCTCCCAATGGTATAGCATTCAGAAGGATGGTGCCAAGTAGCTAGAAGTTCTTGGAAGCTATGTAGCCCTACAATCTGGGGCCTACTTGGGGTCCCAGAGACCTGGGTCCAACGCATAGGTGTCACTGAATGCTCAGCTGCTCCCTGCCTGGCATCTTAGATTGGAATCTATGGTTTTCTATTGGGAATGAGTTCTATCTCAATTTAGTCAGAGAGGCTGGCTTAGAAGATGGTCAGAGATTTCTTCTTGCCATGACTGTTATGGTTGGTTGCTCTAACATTCTCTGCTAGTACAAAGTTTCATTTTATAGGAATCTTAGAGAAGCAGGAACCTTTAAGGGTATATATGGGGATCTCTGTTAGTCTTAACTTTTGGGGGAGATCAAAATATTGCCTTAGGCTATCTTATATGTTCTTGAAGTCAGTATGTTTTTGATCAGAGTTAGAAAAGGGGCCTAAAATAAAATATATTGGCTGGGTGCTGTGGCACACACCTGTGATCCCAGAGACTTTGGAGGCTAAGGCAGGAGAATTGCAAGTTCAAGGCCAGCTTCAGCAACTTAGCAAGGCCCTATCTCAAAATTTTAAAAAGGGCTGGAGATGTAGCTCAGTGATAAAGCAACCCTGGGTTCAATCCCCAGTACCAAAATAAATAAATAAACAAATAAATAAATACCTTGCTTTGTTTCATATTTTGGCCATTTCATTAAAAAGAAAGCTGTCATAGGAAACTCATTTCTGAATCAATCTCCAATTTGTTGTGCTTACTTTGCCCTTAGGAAAGGGATAGAATGAAAAATAAAATAAATATATATCAAATATTTTTAAAAGCTGTATCATGTGTGCATATTTAAAGTGTTTACATTTGTTTTTTAATGCTTTCTGTGGGTACTTCATCATACCCACTTTGTTTTTCTTTATACAGGTAATGCTTCTACAGAGAGGAATGGGGTTTCTTTCAGTGTTCAGAATGGAGATGTGTGCCTTCATGATCTCACTGGAAAACAGCACATGTTTAATGACAAAGAAGATTCCTGCAATGGTAAAAGCCGTATGGCTCTCAGAAGGACTTCAAAGAGGGGAAGCTTACACTTTATTGAACAAATGTGATTCCTTTTTTCTAAAATCAAAGCATGATGCTTGATGGTGTGAAATGTCCAATTTTACCTTTTACACAATGTGAGATGTATGAAAATCAACTTATTTTATACTCAGCAACCTCTGGAGGAACATAAGCTAATGAAAGGCGATGGTTACTATTGGAAGGGGAAACCAAGACATTATTGTGGCCTTTAGACATTAGCAATTTGGTTTCTGAACCTTCATTTTAAAAGAAGGTTGGTTTTAAACAACACAGTGAGAATAAGACTTGTATAAACAAAAACGTAGTTAATTTCCAGCTACATTTTAAAGAGGCTAAGTTATCTTTGATAACATCCTAGAAAGCAACTGTTGACTTCAGACTTTTGGTGAGTTTAGTTGTGCATGCCTTTGTTGTATATAAGCTAAATTCTAGGGACCCACGTGTCAGAAATCTTACTTCTACCTTTTTTGTATTTATTTTCTACTATGTAGATTTATTCTTTTGTAGAATCTTGGTTTTATTGTTTTGTCTAATGTGATAACTCAGAAAATCCTTACTGATTCAGTGAATTCTAAAGCTCCTTTTGGAGATTATATGGATGTGAAATACAGAAACTTCATTGAAATCAAGAAATAATAATGATGCAGCCAGACTCTAATCAGACAGTTCCACAATTAGCTCATACAGTGCCTTTGAGTGAATTAGAAAAAATTACCCCCCTGGGAAGATTCAGCCTGGTTTGGCAAGCAGAGTGGGGTCACGTTTTAGTCCTAGTCATCTTCTTGGGGGCATCTTTATATAAGGTATGACCTGTACAACCATACATGACATCCAATGCCAGTACACATCCCCAGGCCACATCCCTATTAATCAGATTATGGAATCTGCACCAAGATGTTAAGCTTAATATCTTGGTCACAGAAAGGGAAGAAACTCTAATCTAGACCATATATGGGGAAGATTGTGAATGTGGAGGAGATACATACACTGCCACATCTCAAGTCCCCAGAGCCTTTCAGAAGAGGGGAACAGAGTAGGATTACTTTTGAAAAGAGTGATATATAAGGAAAACAAATCATATTGCTGTTCTTTAAAAGGCAACTGCATGGTACATTGTTGACTGTTACCACTGGTACACTCTGGCCCAGCCAGATTTCTAATTATTTTTTAAAATGTGTCAAGTCTTAAAGAGTGTATAGTGACAAGGGGGAGCAGCTACTGAAAACAGTGAACTATCCCGTGATACTGTTGTTTCTATTTGTATCAAACCCTGATTGCTATAGTCTTTCCTACTTTCCACCTATACCTGCTTGAGCAATAACTCAAGTATGTCCTTACTAGGAACATTTCAAAACCCTTTAGTTAGATCTTTCACTAAGGCTCCCTTGCATATATTTCAAGTGAATGTTGTATCCCAGATTAACCATGGTAATAAGACATTTCTGAGTGCTGAATTGTCTTTGCAGTATTTCTTCTCTGATTTATTTAATTGTCTTGTATTTATGTGTTAAAATCAACAAACAATGTTAAAATGAACTAAATAAATTTAGTTAAGTCCTTTAAATTTGGTAACTTTTACAAAGAAAAACCTTTTGCAGTTTCTTTCCCTGGCAACAAGGAATGGGAGTAGTAAGACATACCTGATGAAGACCAACACAATAGTCATATCTTTTGGGAAACAGCAAGCACCCTGGGGATGAGAAATTAGAGCAAGAGTTGCCCTGTCACATGAGATTAGTTTCTGTAGTCTTCTTTTCTCTTTTTCTGTTACTCTTTCAAGAGTTTCTCTTCAGGGCTGGAGATGTGGCTCAGTGGGAGAGCACTTGCCTAGCATGTGTGAGGCCATAGATCCAATCTCCAGCATCACAAAACAGAAAACATACTACTACAAGAGTTTCTCTTTAATATTTGTTGCCATTGACCTCTAGGCAATTTATGAGACCCAGTTCAGATTCCCATCCAAGTTTCTATTTCCTCAGCATCAAACAATAGGATTTCAGGAAGGGTTATAGGTTAGCATGCTGAAGCCACAAAGCGGGGAAGCTGGCCTCATCTGCTTCCAAGATCCTCAGCCCCCACAGAGGCCAAGCACTAAACTAATCAGGAGCAGGATGAGACTTCACTAGTCAATCTCCCAAAAGGAGATTAAAAAGGAGGTGCAATGTCCATGTCCTTTAGTCTCCCCCCCACCTTATTTTTCGTATTATGTTTTACATCTAGCTGTGGTTCTTAAGCCAAATTTTCTTCTCTCTCTCTTAATTCAGAGAGATAACAAGGCAAGATAGAAAATGTTCCCAAGCAGCGTCCTGTTTTGGGTTTAAAATTGGTCCCACAATCTATTGTAAGAAAACAGAGGTGTTGCCCATATTAGGAGGCAGAGAGTGTCAGAGCAGTTGCCAGTCTTTGAAGAAGTATTTCCTCAGAACATTGGAGAAATTGTTTCCCCAAACACACTGTAGTCATTAATCCCACACAGGAACTCTGTTGACTGTAATGAGCACCATCATGATTATTCTCCTCACAAATGGTAAAACTGCTCCACTTACATCTAACAAGGTCACCTAGGAGGTGTCAGTTTGTTAAAGATTATGTCAATGAAGATCTAATTTACTGAATGACCAATTCACTAAGTGGGCTTGTTTGGTCTTTTTGTCTCCATAACAGTATTAAAGGGCAATTAATTTGTTTCTGTCTCATCTCACTGCTGCAGTTGGAGTTGGAAGGACAGGAAAAAGGAAAAACTGAGTGGACATAAGAACATAATCTTAAATGTGAAGAATTCTTATCATGGTATTATTTTTCACCTCATTCTTGAGATATAGCATCAAGAAGTCAGAGCACTTTCGCCCTAAGCAACTTAGTGAGACTGTCTCAAAATAGAAAAATAAGGGGCTGGACTTGTAACTCAGTGGTATAGTGCTTGTCTAGCATGTGTGAGGCACTGGGTTCGATTCTCAGCACTGTATATAAATAAATAAATAGAACAAAGGTCCATCAACAACTGAAAAAAATTGAAAATAAGAAAAGAAAGGGTTGGGATGTAACTCAGTGATTAAGCACTTACATTCAATCCCTGTTTACCACCCCTCCACCCCCCCTCAAAGTTTGCAGATAAAAACAGAATATTTATTCTTCCAGAATATCCAGCATATATATTCTGGGGATCGAACCCAGAGCCTTGCAAGTGCTCTACTACTGAGCTATATTCCTAGCCCCAGAATATATTATTTTAAATATATTTAATAAATATATACCTCACTTGAAGAAATCTTATACTCCCTTATACTCCCTGGGACTTCCTCTCCTTGCCTCTTAGTCTCAAACTAGCTACAGGAAGTTGTAATACAGACAAATTCAACATTCTTTTTAAAAGTACTGTAATGAGAAACAAAATGATCCCCAGTCAACTAAATTGTTGTAGAAATAACTAAATTTGAAAAATTAGTTATTTTTTGGGGCTGGAGATGTGGCTCAGCGGTAGCGCGCTCGCCTGGCATGCGTGCGGCCCGGGTTCGATCCTCAGCACCACATACCAACAAAAGATGTTGTGTCCGCCTAGAACTAAAAAATAAATATTAAAAAAAAAAGAAAAATTAGTTATTTTTAGCAAATTGATTCAGAATTGAACCTCTCTGAGTCAAAGATGGAGTGAGTGCTTTTATTTAGAGTTAAAGATCTGAACCCTCCAAGAGAAACATTAGTTTCTATCTTGGACCCTGATCTTTTAAATGGATTCCTAAGAAGCATCCAATGTGAACAAAAGTCATAATAAAAAGAAGAAATGATCCCAGCTTTTGTTATAGAAGAATTCATGAAAATCTAGTAAGAGTACATATTAAGGGGCTGGGGTTGTGGCTCAGTGGTAGAGTATTTGCCTAGCATGTGTGAGGCACTGGGTTCGATTCTCAGCACCACATATAAATAAATAAAGGTCCATCAACAACTAATAAAATATTAAAAGAGTACATATTAAGATTGCAAAAGGGATTTAATTTTAATTTAATGTCTAGCATTACTCTCTGGACCATAGCATTCTGTGTATCTACATACATTGCTGCATAACTTAAGAGCCGATATTTTTTAAAAAGTATGAGTGGCTCTTGAGTGCTTTAGTTAAGTGGCAGAATAAAGCTACAGATTTGTTCTGGAGTATCTGATGTGAATTTGGATAACTAAACATAGGGGTCTCTGCTGATATAGGACTGATTTTTCAATCATTCATTGTCAACACTAATTGAGCTCCAACCAGTCAACCACATGCCCAACACTTTACCAGACATGGTAGGAGATATCAGACTGTTTCTTTTTTTTTTTTGGTACCCCGAATTGAACCAAGGGGTGCTTTACCACTGAGCCACACCCCCAAGCCCTTTATTATTATTATTTTTTTTTCTTTTGAGATAGGGTCTTGCTAAGTTGCTTAGAGCTTCGCTAAGTTGTTGAGGCTGGCTGTTTACTCACAATCCTCCTGCCTCAGCCTCCTGAGCCTCTAAAATAACAGGCCTGCACCACCACATCAGACTTGATATCAGACTATTTTAATGAATACTTTATAACCCAGGTAGGAAAGCATGCCTCTTCCACACTTGAAAACATACAAAGGCAATACATTATTGCCAAATTATTATTTTTTTTAAATGATGGGCTTTTCTGAGCCAGGCTTGTGCTAAATGGTCTGGATTTTCAATCACGCTGTGAGGTAAGTGGCAATATCCCCATTTTACAGATAAGAACATTGGAGGGTCACACAGCTAAAACAGCTGGAATCCGAAGTGACTCCCAAGACCTCAGCTCTTAAGAAATCGCCAAAAGAATTAAGAGAATGGGGAGGGCTAAAAGGCAGAAGGAGCTGAGCTAGCCATTAAAGCAAAGACAGGCTTCAGATGGTGAAGGAGGAGGAAGAGCCAAATGGATCAATACACTAAATGCTCTAGCAAAGAGTTTGCGGAAGCAATGATTACTTCAGTCTAACTATCCAGTGGAATTCATATGTGGGCCAGATTTGGGTGGATAATGAATACTGGGCCGAAGACTGTGTACTTTAGGCAATTATCAGCCACAAGAAACTAACCAAGGACAAGTTTCAAGTTATTAGTCCTGGAAGAGATGAACTGCGACCCTACCCCAGGGAACGGCGTCCAAGTGGCTAGGGCAGGAGCCCCAGAGTTGTAGTTGGGGGGTAGGTTCCGGCCTCCCCCTTTCTCTTCTAGGCTGGGTTCCACTACTTGGATTCCGTCCCTGAAAGAATAGGGACAGGGCTATGATCTCCGCCTACGGAGAAACGCTCAGGCAGCCACAGTGGTCCAGTCTCTCTCTCCTGCCTTGAGTTGTCCTGGCGACCGCCTTGGGGCCCTAAACATCGCAGCCAGGAGATGAAGCCAGGTCTATGCCGATACTGCAGGCTGCCCCTTTTTCAATCCCCCTCGGGCTGAGACTCCGCGGAGGAGGCGGGATGAGGGCGGGACTAGGGGCGGAGGCTGCGGCTCCTTTACCAGTGTCCCTCATGCCCGGCTCCGAGGGCGGGGGGGGGAGGTGGGCCCGGGACACCCGAGTGGCCGTTCCGTAGGGCCTGTTTCTCCTGCCGCTGTTGGGGTTGTCGGCCAGCTGGGAAAGGAAGGGGCTCAGCGAGGGAACTTGGTCCCCCCACCAAGAGCCGGGTTCTCTTCCTTGGGCCATCCCCTGTTCCCTCCCCTCAGCCCGAGACTTGGTTGGTTCCGCTCTGCGACGGGGGCGGGGCAGAGGGCGGGGCTGAGTCAGGCCCGAGTGGGCACCTGGCAACTGTGGTCGGCAGGCCAGTTTCTCCCTCCCCGGGGCCTCCTCATGACCGCCCATAGACAAAAGAGGCTCGTCAGGGGCGCCTTCTCCTCAGGCCAGGTACTCAGTTCCCGGCTTCTCCGTGGCCGCTTGTGACACGCGGCCGTCGGGAGCGTGGTCAAGGCGGAGCCGCCATAGCGCCAACCCCCGTCTCCGCCCCCGCACCGCCCAGCCAGTAGAAACTCTGGCCCGCTAGTCGGCCGCAGCCCTGGCGGCGCGGCAAGTCGTGCGCCAAGGCTCTTGAGCATCGCGGGGATGCGGAGCAGAAGCAATTCCGGGGTCCGCCTGGACGGGTATGCAAGGCTGGTGCAGCAAACCATCCTGTGTTACCAGGTAAGCAGAGATCACCCGGAGAGAACGCCCTGAACTGCCCTCTGTTGTCACTCATTCTCTTCCTCAGGCCTCAGTCCACTCCTGTGACCTGAGAGCTTGCAATTAAGAGGTTTCCTATTTGAATCCAGTCCTTGCTAGCCAGTGATTTCCTCCCCATTACCATCCCCATATCTTTATTAGTCAGGGGATCTACCGAATAGCTGCTTTGGCGACTCTTTATAGAATTCTTTGACCATTGTTTAGGATCGAAGACAGAATGAGCCCCCTAGGTGCCCTGGGTACAAAATGCCACTTTTTTTATTTACTATTTCTTTTAGACGAGAGGTTGTTTGTATAGGTTGGACAGATCACACTGAAAAGACGGTGAACTCTCGACTGTAGACAAGAGTGAAGAAGCTCTGGCCCTCCCAAGAGTGACCTTGTTAAGAGACCACTTGGGAGGGCCATAGGTCCTGTTCTGGTTGCTACTTTATAGATAAGAAAACTACTGGACCTGAAAGGTCCAGTCCAGTAGAGTGTCAAACCCTAAGCCAGGTCTTTTTTTCCCAAGTTCAAGGGGTCCTGTGAAGCTTGCCCATATTGTCTGATTATGAATAATACCTGCTATGCTTTGTATTACTGGACTAAAATTATGTGTGGGTCCTTAATGTAAGACCACTGAACTATTTTTATTCCTAGTGAAGACAGAAGCTATATTGCTTTCCCTCAATCAACAGCAACTATTTTTAGGGCCTTCAGAGTCAAAGAAGGAAGTGGCATTTGGTGGTTAGGGGTGAAGCCTGAAAGTTGGGAGCCATGGTTACTCCCAAGCCACTGACCTTTTTTCTAAGGCTAATTTCTCAGCGTTGGTCCCTCATTTAGCAAATATTTATTGTGTACTAATTATATGCAAGGTACTGTACAAAGTGCTGAGCTTCCAAAAAAGAATAAATGGTTTTGAAGCAGTGACATTTTTGCATGGGGTCTAGAACCCTATTTGAATCTCTTCAAGCTAGATGTGATTTGCAAGTGAGAAATATTTGGATTTAGAAAGGTAATATGCATATCCTATATATTCTATAATAACTGCAATGGAGTCTGAGCAACACTCCTTAATCACATATTCTATTATTATTTCCACAACAGAATATGAATATTCATACTGAGCGGGATAGGTAAAGACTGAAAAGAGTTTTACATTAGTTCAGGTCCTCTCTCGCTGCTAAATGAACTTACTGCGAAGTTAAGAAAATACTGAATTTCCAGAGCTTATTGACTTTTGAGTTTGCATGTGAAGGATTAGATCTTTATTTGGGGAGCTTTATGGAAGGACGCCTAATCCAGTTTTGTGGGGCAAGAGAGGAATCCTGCAAAAGATGATTTTCAAGTTGAGAGCTCAAAGAATAGGCAGATAAAGGGAAGTTACTCTTTGCCTTTCTTCTTAGAATAACATCCATAAAATATTCAAAAAATCCAAGTTGAAAGACCTTTCCCTTCAGTTCTGTGATGGGAGGGGCTATAGGAGAACTGAGAAAGCTAGTTTCAATCCTCAGCTCTGCCTTCAACAATATGTGTAATGTTTAATCATCCTTTCTGAGTTCATGCCCTCATCTGTAAAACGTGAAAAATAACACCTGCTTCCATTGAGTTGTTGTAAAGAAAAAATTAGTGCCTATACATTGCCTGGCAACTCACAGGCAATCAGTAGATAGTGAGGGATCTTGGCAGTTTTATGGCCTTGATATAGTCCACAAATTTGAAGTCAGTGGTCCTCACATAACCACTCTGACCCATGATGCTCCTTTTTCTGAAGGACTTGACACAGCTGCTATTGCTTTATGTCTCCAATTGGTGCAGTGAGGTCCTAAGTTCAGAGACCTTACCAATTTTGTTCTTTTGCATCACACAGTGTCCAGGTGTATGAAAGGTACCCTTCAATCCTTGATAAAATATTTCCTGCAGCTTCTGAACCATCTCAATGACCCAGCTTTTGGTCCAGGCTTATCTTCCCTTAGGAGCAAAAGAACTATCTTCTCACTAAAGCTTATCTGCAGGGTTGGACTTTCCTCCCCAACATTTTAATGATTAAAAAAGGTTGTCTGAGCCTTTAGTTGTATTTATTTTGGGGGAAGTTGGTGAGAGGCCCTCACATTTGCCCTCTTTCCTCTTCCTGGCTGTATTATCAAGCTTTTCTGGCTAACAAGAATACTCCGAATACAGTTGTGCTTGGAAATACCATGAATCTATAGGTACAGAATTGCACACCTTCTCATCTAACCACACCCTGCCCCAACAACTAGAAAAAAGTTGTAGAACCCTGACCCATTTGGGTTCTCATCATCATCTCCCAGTCATCTCAGCCAGGTCACCTCTATTATATATATTTTGCCAATTAAAAAGATGAATGAGCTAGGTTTCTGAATTTTATGCTGAATTTTCTCATTTCTGTACATGTGTGCAGATGTTTGAGATGTTTTTCAATGTCATTTTGTATAAGCTCTGAAATTTGTTTCTGACTTGCTTTAAAATTGAGATCAATTTATATTGGGTTCACTGGTTAGAAATCATTCTAAGATAAATATGTCAAGCTGATCATTATTATTTCTTTAGAATCAATAGTTTGTTCATATCAAATAACATGTCAAATAATTCCTTTTCCTGTATCTATGGAAGGAAGAAGTTTTTCATTCATTGTTTACCAAATATGTCTGCTGCTAAACATTACTTGAATCTTTAAGACACAGAAGGAAAAAGCTATGTCTATAAAAGAGTCCTTTTGCAGGTTTGATTTTATAAATATATATTCTAGGGAGTATCTTCAAAACTTTGTTGTCTATAAGCTGGGCTCAGTGATACACACCTATAATGCCAGCTACTTGGGAGGATAAAGCAGGATGATTCTAAGTTCAAGACCAGCCTGAATGATTTATAGAGACCCCGACTCAAAAATACAAGAAAATGGACTGAGGATGTAGCTCAGTGGTAGTGTTTGTCTAGCATGAGCAAGGCTTTGGAGTCAAGCCCAGTACTACCAAAAAAAAAAAAAATATATATATATATATATATATATATATATATATATATATTTTTTTTTTAAATAAAATTCTAGATTTATTTTGGCCCAGATAAAAAATACTGTGTACATTTTTTCAGTTATGACTGTTTGAAGGCTTATTAATAAAAGTATTAAGTATGACGTACTGATAAGAGAATATGGATCAGAAAGAAAAAATAATGATCAAAGCAGTATTCACTCCAACTGCAGATTACTAGGTATAATAAGGTAATATAATTGAAATCAGTAACTAAATATTGCTATTTAATAGCAATGAAATTTAAATTGAGAATTCAAATAAATAAAGCATGGAGTATAAGACAAAGTAAAGATTAGTTTGGGCTATCTCTCACCATGCAGAAAACTCAAGTGGATCAAGGACCTAGGAATTAGACCAGAGATCCTGCACCTAATAGAGGAAAAAGTAGGCCCAAATCTTCATCACATCGGATTAGGCCCTGACTTCCTTAACAAGACTCCTAAAGCACAAGAAATAAAATCATGAATTAATAAATGGTATGGACTCAAAATAAAAGCTTCTTCTCGGCAAAAGAAGCAGTCAATCAATGAAGTGAAGAGAGAGCCTACATTATGGGAGCAAATTTTTGCCACACTCACATCAGATAGAGCCTTAATCTCTAGGATATATAGAGAACTCAAAAAACTTACCAAAAAATAAAACAAATAACCCAATCAATAAATGGGCTAAGGAGTTGAACAGACACTTCTCAGAAGAAGACATACATTTGATCAACAAATATATGAAAAAATGTTCAACATATCTAGTAAGAAAAACAAATCAAAATACTCTAAGATTTCATCTCACGCCAGTCAGAATGGCAATTATCAAGAATACAGACAACAATAAATGTTGACAAACATGTGGGAGAAAGGTATACTCATTCATTGCTGGTGGGACTGCAAATTGGTACAACCAGTCTGGAAAGCAGTATGGAGATTACTTAGAAAACTTGGAATGGAACTACCATTTAACCCAGCTATCCCGCTCCTTGGTCTATACCCAAAGGATTTTAAATCGGCATACTGTAGTAACTCGGTCACATCAATGTTTATAGCAGCTCAATTCACAATAGCTAAACTGTGGAAGCAACCTAGATGCCCTTCAATAGATGAATGGATAAAGATTAGTTTGGGATATGGTTCAAAGAGATATAAATACTAAAAAATAATAATATGGCAGAAGAATAAGAAGAGACTGGAGTTAAAACTGAGAATGAAGATATTATTATATATCTTAAGAGATCATATCTAAGCATTAGCATTAAAATAATATAAGCAGAACATACAACTTTGCAAACAATAGTGGAATAAAGAAAATCTGATTTCTCTCACAGAAGTAAGGAAAAGGGTGGATGGGAAGGGTGGGAAGTAAGAAAAAGAAGGTGTGATAAAAGTAAAGGTCAGCAGAAGTAGATGCAGGTAAGTCCACAATAAATGTACATGCTTTAATTATCCAAATAATAGAAATTATTTAAAGTATTTAGAAAGGCATATGTAATTTATAAAAGACAAAACTAAAACAGAATACTAAAAGGTTGAAAGTAATCCAGCTATACTAGGCCAGTCCTAACCCCCAAAAAGTTGATGTCATCATACTAATAACAAAGTAGAGTTTAAATTTTTTTAAAAATATATTATTAGGGATAAAGAATATTATTACTACATGACAAGAGGATAATTCACCAAGAAAATGGAGCAATTTTAAATCCACAAAATACTAACAACATAGTTTCAAAGTATATAAAACAAAACTTGGCCTAGTTACAGGATAAATGACATCCATAATCATTCTGGGAGTTTTAAAATTTTCTGAGCTATTAATAAATCAACCAGAGAAATAATGAGGACATAGAAAATTTGAGCACGATAAGGAATAAACTTGGTAAAGTACACATACATAGAACTCTGCACTCAGCCAATAGAAAGTACTTATGTTTCAACCTTG